CATAACAACCCAGATCCCATTAGTTACCTTGGTTATCCAGACTGAAGCTACAAGCCTGTCACTGGATATATCACTAATGACTGTGGTGGGTGGTCAATGCTGCTTCAGGGTCCCATCTCTGAGGGCCTGCATGGGGGGGTTCTGATGACAAGGGAGTGATCCGTCCTTGGCCAGGAGGTGAGGAAAACTCAGCTGTTGTTTTGTCTTCAGTCAGTAAAAAAAAAGAGGCACACAGATACATACCGGTAGACTTTCCAGGGCTTACACAGGCCAGCTCGTCAGCTGCAGGACCATTTGATGTTAAAATACTGGTTGTCCATCAACAGGAACTGTACAAAATCTTTTAAATTACACTGAAGCATGTACTGTTGACAAAATGTTTGCAGTTTCTTCCACAAAGAATAGAACATTGCACTGGGAAAAGACGAAAGCATTCTACCTCTAGTTTTACCAGATCTTTTCTTTATCTCACAAAGGCAGATTCTTTGCTCGAGATACCTAAGGTCTTAATCTAATTGTTCGTGGACATACATATAATGTTGCCTGAATGACATTAATATCTACAATATTAAAATGAACACATACATACATATATACATAAATATATGGTACCAAATGTATGTTACCAGACCAGTACCTAATCCTCTGTACCTGTACCTGTAGTCAACATTACATTTAGGTACAAAGCCCGCTTCTGCAGCCCTACTCCACAGCGCTTGGTGGTACTGATTGAGCCATAACGCCTGGCTGGATCTGACTCTGCTGTATATAAACACCAACTAAACATGACCCCAAACCGACTTAAACCAAGAGAAATGCACAACCCCATACTATGGCCATAGACAGACAATCTGTCGGGTTGTGTGCGATAATTCAGTACGAAAACTGAAAAGCCAACAATACCAAACAGTTTTTCCAAAGTTAATCCCACAAGAAAACGACTCGTCATCAACAAAGAGAGGAAAGAAGTTCACACCAAAGTGTGTTTGATTAGGGAACAATCCCATTACAAGTCCCAGTGACCTCAAGCACCTTCCCATATAAACACTCACTTCTCTGTTTGGACATTGGCTAATCACATGACCTTTGCCCTCCAAGATAACACCCATAACTCACTTGGGCTAAGCTGGATCCTATGATAACTTTAGTGAGCTGATTCCCCAGTTGATTTCAAGGTTTTCTACCAACAGGATATCCCTAGTTATCCCTATGAAACACTGGGAAAATATAGAGAATGTCCTGGAGGAAAACACTCAAGGGCTTCGGCACAGGCACCTGTGAGGAACCACCAGACAGAAATCCTCAAATCCTCGAGCAGACGTTAGTGGAACGGAAGATGTTGGATTTTTCTGACTGCCAGATTTCACCCACAAGAGAAACCTGGCATTCAGAAAACATCACAACATCTGCTTGGAGAAAAGACGGGACCAACAGACGCTAAACCAGATGGTTAGTGAGAGTGAGTGACTGAGTGAGTGAGTGAGTGAGACAGCATCCTGAGTACTTTAACATGCACTACAAAGTACAAGATGGAAGCACCATAGGCATTCCTTCAACATCTGCTTGGAGATGAAGAAATCCTTGCTTTTAGCCCTGTGGTTTGGGTATGGTTGGGAGAGAAAACAAAACAAATCCTGAGCACTACAAGGTAGAAGCCCTGCACCCCCCCCCCTTCACAGCCAGACTTCCATTTGCTGCTGGGTTTATCAATCACCCATCAGCCAACAACTGACAGGGGCCCTCTGAAGTGGAGGCATTCCTTGGAGAACTGCCACACCTACAACTAAAAAGTATAAGATCCTGCATGTGCACTGCAGGTGCTTTGCAACAATCTGTACTGTAATGCTATCTGCTTAATTAACTTGTCATGAACATTGTCAGGGAGTAGTTTTGGATTTGAAATGACTTGTAAAATTTACAACAAGTTTCCTAACAAAGACCAGATGAAGAGGAACAATTAGTAAGGACTTTATCCTCACTTATTAAAAACACTTGGACCTGTAAAAGGCAAAGATTCAGGGCAGTATTGTCAAGGTTTTAGAGCAATTTTAGAGCAATCTGAGACATGCAAAGTCAGGAAAAAACAAACAAGCAAACACTGAGGTCAAAATAAAAGCATTGATGACATGTGAGACTATCTTCTAACACAGCGATTTCAGCTATCATAAGATCCTGCACAAGGTGTCACCACAATCTGTAGGCACACTGAAATCAGCAAAGCTTGTCAGCTGGCATTTTATACAAATTCGAATACAAGATATCAGTCAGACTGTACGATTATATGTCTCCCAGACCATAGGAGGGCTATGGCCATACAATACAGCTCTGTGTATGAAACACAACTCAATTTTGTCCCAGGTCTCTCCACACTTCCCCTTGGGTCACCCCTGACCCCAGCAAGACAACATTTGGCTGCAGTCAGTGATGACATATCCTACACTGCAGACTGGCAGGCACAGGACTGTGTTTTCCTGTGTGTTGCCTATTTCCCTATCGTATTGCACAATAAATCCGGTTCCTGATTTACTAGATCTGGCTGTGAGGGACAGAACAGCAGGGCTGGGTCTGAAACTGCAACATCTGTCCAACATCAAGAGGGACAAATTCCTGAAAACTGGGGGAATGCCGAGAGGTTAGGCAAAGTCGGAGCTTAGCTTCGGTTCTCGTCCCCCTGCGAGGTTTAGCCAGTTCAAACAGACCGAGCCAGGGTTCAAAGTCACGCGACCTCCGGAACGTGTCCGTGTTGGTGGACCCGGCCGAGGAATCCAGTTCTCATGCAGCCCAGAACTTCCTCAGGGCCATCCTAAGGTCTCCACCACCAACTTCTGCATGTTGAAGATCAACTGTGAGGTTCCTGAGTGGCTCCACAGAGGAGACAGGACCCTCGGCTCCACCAAGGTGGCAACCTTGCAGTCTAGACTCTGTAACAGGTAGTTCTGGGAACTGTGTGCAAAAAAATCATAACCACTTGTCCTGTCTGTTTGATATTTCCCCAGGAATGTTTTGGTCACCCCCCCCTCCTTTTTACTTTTGACTTTTTCAGATTTGATATAGGATTTACTAGTACATTGTAATTTCTACTTCTTATTGAGAATTACCGGTACAGTTCCTACTACTGTATAAATATCCCAAAATATACATGCATCTCAGCACATGCAAGTTGTCAACTTCTGAATTGAAGGACAAGCTGCTCTGTCAGTAATTAAATGAGCACAAGTTTCCACTACTTTTCTAGTAGGTACTCTGGTCAGGTGCTGTAAGCAGTCCAATAATATCACCAAACTGGTAGGTAATAAACAATCCTTCAAAGAAACTTCAGCACTAACAGCAGGATAAAGCAACCTTGATTTCCATAACAATCTCAACATTACGGTCATTATCCATGCCTTTGTTGGTGGAACTCCTGTCAATACAACAAAAAACACTGCCCACACTTGGGCCATGCAAATTCAATAAGTTGTTTCACAGATCTACTTGGTCCCAAAATGGGGATGACTGATGAGGAGAAGTTTTGCTCCTTGTTGAGACATACATGAGCTGGTTGGGTTAAAAAAAACTTTTTTCTTGTCTAAGGTACAATAAACTATCATTACTTCCAATGACAATACAAGAACATCATGTCCTACTGGGTAGCTTATTATATATAATTATATTGAGATAAGAAAACTTCCAACTATCCAAGCCACTGAAAGGAATCAACAGCACCAGACAGCGCCTGGCATTATCTTATCTGACACTGTGACAGCTGAAGTACCTAACAAATGAATTCTGATGAAAAGAACTGGACTATTTGTATTTAAAAAAATACTATCCCCAGCCCGATCTAAAAGTAAAGGAACTTCGACTGCAGGCAAGGGTATAATCTCTTCAAGGTAAACAGACTTTCTAAAGAGGTATCAAAAAGGACATGTCACATGTGCATTGTCTTAGGTTTTACCCAATACCTCTACTCCAATCCTTCAAAAATGTATTAACTCTGACAAGAAGCTGTCTAGAGAGTTATTTCAGCAATCAATTACATGATCTTTAATAAAAGTTACACAAAGAAGCTTTGACTTTGCTAGACAAAACAGAAGTAGAAAAACGAGGAGATATCTGACAGCAGGGCCATATCACCTCCTTCCCCCAGCACAACCCGAAGGCACCCAGTCTATTGTATGCTAGCGGTGACCATGTCCCCGAGTTCTGGTCCGCTGTCACACAGTTTCCTTAGCACTACAGCCTGTTCAACTGACAAAAGACAACAATTTGGAGCCCAAAGCTGCAGGAAGGGGCTGACAGGGCGGGAGGGGGGCAGCTGGTTCATGTTGCCCTCCTCTGGAACAGAGGTCGCACCTAATGCAGGATATCCAGTTCTGCTGCACTCACCCTCATAGACAACCCTTTCACAGGAAGTTGTATTTACTGAGGGGGGAGATTATTTATATAAGCTAATCAGTACCCTCTAACAGTAAGGGGAGGAACACAGTTGGCTCTGTGTCCTAGACTGAGATATCTCGGAGTGAGATAAGTTCAAGATTAGTCTAAAATAGGAGAATAGAAAAATAGGAGAATAGAATACACTGAGATGTTCCATTAAAAATCAAGGGAGAGCTTGGAGAATCCTGTCATCACTTCCTAAGATTATAATTGTTCCATTATAATTACACTAAAATATATAACTAACAAGTTTATCTGTTATATCGTTCTCCTAACAAACACGTCAAGGGTATGTTTATGAATAGTAACTTGAGCCACCCCCCTCAACAATGGAACAACCCAATAGATCAATCACTTTACAATACAATCAACATGTGTGTGTGTATGTAAAGTAATGTTAGATGGCACAGTTCAAAACTTTATCACTGTTGCTCAACCAAGCGTAAGACATTTTAAACACCTAATCCAAGTCCTACTCACACAAGGAATGCGGGCCCAAGAGAGGCATAATTTGCAGCTAAAATTCTATTGTCAGACATAATTGAATAAACAATACAAAGGCATAAGTCGGTAACACCTACCATGTACTCCACATGAGGATCCTCCACTGTGCTGGTGTTTGATATTGTCTTTTCTGTACACAACATGAGGTTTGCTGTGCCCACTGTCCTCGCCATGATCGTTGTTAAGGGGTTCAATAAAATATTCCGAGTTTGGGGTCCTGAATGCTCCTAGCTGGAAGGGTGGGAAGAGAGAAAAAAAACATGAAAAGTTTGGCAGTTTGCCTGAAGTCAATGGGGATTCCCTGAGGGGGGCGGTCCTAGGCTGATATCTGCTTTATATTCGTGCTGGGCTTCCTTCTTAGGGCTATTAAATATTCATTTCCAGTCATTTGACACCCTTGAGTTTAGAGGGGGCCCGTGATTTAGGGAGCGTTCAGTGCTTTCAGGCAAATACAAACAAATGTGACGTTTTAGTGGACGACGGCCCGGAACATGACATACGAGATATGGTTAGGCCTTTCTGTAGTGTCAGGCGGATATATTAGGGCTAGGATTCAACTTTGTAAACTAGATAATCACTGCACAAATCCTAACCAGACTTGTAAGGGATGGCGCAGACTGACATGACATGCAGATATCGGATTTAGCTCTCCCCAGACCGTTTCGGCAGGAGTATTTACAAATACTTGAATGAAAGTCATCCTCCTTCTGTGCCGGCCGCGGTTAGTTTTTAGTCGCGAAGCCACAAGTCTAACCCCAGGGCAAACCTCTGCAGTATCGACTTACGCGGGCTATCCTGGGCCCATTACATCGCGTGTCCGGCCCCCCTACACGTCCACAGGCCACAGGAAATATTAGAAACACCCTGACCTGGGCACTCACACCTAAACATACACAAACCGCAGAGACTCTTTCTTCAACAAACCCGTCCCCCCTAACCCAGGCTAGGCCGGGGCAGGTTCAGGTCAGGAAGAACCAAACATTCTGATGGAAATAACGGTACCCTGTCTCCGGGCACCCAACATTCGGACAGTTGCGAATGCCAGTGTAGGAAATAAATAAACGGGACAAAGGCAAAAGTATTGGGGGTCAAAGAAGCGTTGTGAAACTTACGAGTCCTGAGCAGACACTGACAGCTACAGAAGATTCCGGGTGGGAATTGACACGTCCTGTGTAGTAACAGTGCTGGAGGTGGGTATCATTTTCTGGGTCATACTGCGGTCTTCCCAAATGGTACACGGAAAAGGTCGGAGCAAGAAAGCCGGCATCTGCTGTGAGATTGAGGTGGAACTTTTCCCCGAATGCTTGCAGTGTGTAGGCTGTCCGATCCTGGCCCGTTTTACTCCAGCCGACCGACACAGCGTCGGCACTCCGCTTCCTAAAATGGTGCGTGTGGGGGTACGGGTCGCCATTGTCGTCCACACGAGCCGGCACCACTATCTCATACCTGGTCAGGCCCCGCAAGAAGTCCTCTGCAAGAGACAAGAAGAGAGAGACACACAGATAAATGCGGCGCAGCTGTGCCGTGCCACGTCCCGACCAGACCGGCTAGCGGTCCCCGGGAAGGCTCCCGCCGGCAGGCCGCGGCACGGAAGGAAAAGCTCGGCGACGGGAGTGAGACCCAGGGAAAAGAAGGGTGGCCTACCTCGGTCGTGGCTCTGTGTTCGTAGCCCTAGCGCTGGCTTGAGGAGTTCACAACACAGGACTAAAGCAACGAACAGAGACCACATGGTCACCCTGCACAACACTGCATGCACTTTGCAGGTCCCCCTCAACAGCAAGCCGGTCTAAGAGATGGCAAGGCTCCAAAAATTTACTTGATCTTTTGCAGCACTCTTCTCCTTCCACCGGTGGATCAAACCAAAAGGTCCGCCCTCGTGCCCCGGGAGCGACTCAAACCTCTGAACAAACTCCAGTCGTTTTGCAACATATTTCGTCCGGTATAAAACTTCTCGACCTCGGCGAAGTTGCAAAAATTTTTTTTAGATCAAACAGTGCCAGTCTTATTGACGACTGGTACTTTAAACTATAAACGTTTGGTTGATATTTTCAGCACATTTGGTAATGGTCTTATAATAGTCAACCTCACAGCTGTTGCGGTCGGATGAAAACAGACTACAGTATTTCATCACCCTTTCATCTTAAGTCGCTGTAAAGTATTGTATCGCGTCTTGCTGCGTAGTTCAATCTTGAGTGTATGAGTTTCCCGTCAAACGAAAAGAGGGCTGGGGCACAACGTTGGAAACGTTGAAGTGTTGTTAGACCGCCTCATGAACTTTTGAATCCAACCCAGTCCTTCGTAATCAACTTCAGACGTCATTCAACATCGTAATAGGAGCACTAACCACGCCTCCTAAAATATACAAGCTGTAATTGGTGAATTTGTACAAATTAGCATATTGCTCTTCGCTATTGGCCACGCCTCCTACACAAGACCCCTCTGATTGGCCTGTCCCACGCGGGCCGAGGAAAAGGCGCGACATGGCGGGAATTCCGCACATTGCCGGGCAACAACAAGCAGTCAAGTGCGGAAACTGCAGCGCATGGAATATTGTTGTGAATTTCTTACGAAAAAGTGCTCCCATAATGAAGAAAACAAGTCTCTCCCAATCGATTTGGTTAATATGGAGGACGATTCGGCCGGAAAAGGTGTTTAGAGAGTCTCGTCGCGTCGCTTTTCCGGCCCTGTCCAGCGAAAGTGACATATTTACAAACAGATGCGACAAACGAAAACAAACTGCGACCCAGAGAAGATCCGACCAGGTCCTTCGATGGCTTTACCACAGCTCAGCAAGAAAAATACAGAAGGAAAAGTTGTCAAATATTCAAAACTGTACTGTTTGTGAAGGATTCCTACAGCACAGCTGGACACGGGAACATTAATTGAGATTACTGAAATCATGAAATATTGCCGCGTGTTATCAAGGACATTCTACAGAAAGCTCCTTGGTGTTATGAAGTGCGGCGACCACTTAGCTTTTGTCCAGACCAGATAACCATTAAAATCCTGTCGTTTTTTTTTCTCGCGTTTGACGAAGTTTTGTTATCAAAAGGGTATTGACTTCTAGTGTCCAACCGAGAGAGCATGTAGCATTGTGTGCGCTAATTTTCTCCCATGACAGAAAAATGACTAGTTCCCTTCTCTAAAATCTGCCTGCAGAGCAGAAATGAGATTACTACAATATCTCATCCCAACCACTTGATTGTGAGGAACAATAGGGGATTACTCCCTTTCGGCGACCCCTTTGAAGTGTTAGTGATTGACAGCACAAGGCCACGACCGGTGAGGTTTTGTATGATTCCCATTTGGGATGAGTCATGGCTCCAGTGGGACGAATGTACAATGTATAATATCTAAGCCTGTCGTTTTCATTGGCTTTTACATGTTCTCTTTTTTTTTTTTTTTGTCGTTTTTGCGCTGCTCAAGTACTCAAAGGAGGCAAAAGTGAATAGATCTTTATGCGCTGAATGGGGAATCAGCTAAACTCGGGGAACCCTGATGCGATTTGTATCGTCTTGTCGCCGAACTTTGCGACGCGAATCTCATCAAACTTCGAGAAAGATTGAACTTTATCTGCTACAGTTGATGCGGTGTGAACCACCGGTTGTAACAGGTGGCTTGTAACGTCCCATGGGATGTGGTGATGCAGACACAAGAATATAAGTTGACGTTAACATCGTAAAGATGCACAGAATGATTACTTTTGTATCGAGCAAGGTACAAGATCAACATCTGAACAGAACATTTTAAGGTGGGTAAATTACGTTTAGAATGGATAAACGATGCTGATAGCGATAAATAGCCAGAAAGATTTTATTTGTATTGAACGAGGGTTAGGCTCAAACTTACAGATAGAAGCCCACGGAGTTTGGGTGGGATAAGTGCCAACGGAACTGCTTGGCGCTTGTGTAGAAATGATAGTAACGTTGCGGTATGATATTAATTCAACGGCCGCACATTCGTAGTCTCATTTGTTCGTGGGACGATTTCTTTGTCCTACAATTTTCCGAAAGCTAAGGTCGTATAAGGCCGCCGACAACCTTTTCCCTCACAAGGCAGCTAAAATCAGCACAAGGCCTACGAGTAGACTTGTTCCTTGTCCAATATTTAACAAATAACTGATTATGTGAGCTTAACTTCAGGATGTGTGTTGAATCAAAATGTCCACATTTGCGCCCTTAAAATGCCACTTGTAGTAGTCTTCATTGGTATGGTTCATTTGCGGTTCTAATGACACCCTGGTCATCATCACAGCAAACAAGGGATAAATCCGCTAACGGTCCCACATGCAGGGAGCCTCAGGTTCCAATCGCCAAGAATCGGATAAATCGGTCTTTTATTTGTGACCTTTTTTATGTTTCTACGCCCCTCTCAAAAGTTGAAAAGGTGCACTACTAGATAGACGTACCAAATATATTGCAAAAACACGCATAATGCGGATCGATCCTTACATCTGATTTGAGATTAGGGACTTCATCATCGTTAGCCTGTCAGCAGTTCTGCGGCTCATTTACTGACTAAACAGCGCATGGAACAATTAACAATTAACGCTGCGCATATAATGGGTTAGCTGCCGCCAGGCACGTACAAAATCTCAGGACGCCTTTCATTCTCTCTGGACTATTGGTACTTAGTAAATACCGCAGATCATTTGGAGCTATTACAGGGAAAATTCCCTCTAGAATGACCCTTTCCCCTAGTTTATCATACCACACACCCTCATTCCCCTATTCTTCAACCAAGAATGGAATTCTTGAGTCTAATCTATAGATACGTGTGTCCCCAATAAGATGTACAATGTAGGGTGTACAGTCCAGGAACAAATGGAAATGTGGACAGCAGAAACTACCTGCATGCAAGTACAAAGTCCGGCCTGCCCATAGATAGTTTGTATGTTCGTCCTCCTTTCTTATCAACTCTGGTTAGTGACACACATCTTCAGATGGAAGTTTAACTGATCATATATTTACTCTGTACATAAACCACCTGTACAACAGGTGTGGGCTCAGGTATCCCTGCTGCTGCCACACTGTCTCAAGTGTATGACAGGGTATCCTCGTAGCTGCCACACTGCAATGTTTCACCTGTACGGCAGGTATTCCCGCCACAACATCTCCTGTGTACAACTGCAGCCAAGGTCTTCTTAGAAACAGCATTTGTTCCTGCAGCTCAGATTCACCTGTAAATCGAGATTTGCAACATTTTTCAGGTTTCATGACATTTGTATCTACTGTGTTTGCAAAACTGTAATGTTGCAATAACTATGTATCTCTGAGACTATGATTAACTGACCAGCATGCTTTGTGAAATTATTTTCCTATCACTTGTGATACACTATCTTTTGTTTTTCTGACAAAAAATACACATGTAAGTCCACTTTGGGGCCTGTTTTTTGAGGATGGTACCCAGGCTAGAATATGGTCTCAATTTCATCCATTCTCTTTTCATTGGGTTCCAAAATAGTTCTTTCAAAGCAAAAAACAAAGGACCAGAAAAACTCATGGAACAACAGAAGAAACATCTGGAAAATTCAAAATTACAGACCAATTGGTGGAATTTCAATTATCTGCAGTTAAAGCCAAACACAAACACTACTAATGACAGATTTAGTGTATTGTGTGCCAGTGGTGATACATACCACCCAGTAGTCACCGGCAGTGAGCTTCAAGCAGATGTGTGGTCTGTGTAAACAAAATTAAACATCTATAGATCTGCTTCTACACTGGAGTTCTTACTTTACTCCAGCACGGCAGTGATAAAGAGGTCTCTTTGCTTGCAGTGAACCCCAGCAGCTACTGTTTTAATACCAGAAACAAAAACAACAACAGAGTGGGTTTAGTCTGGCTTTGCTTCATCACAGAGAGGGGCAGGCCACAGAAAGTCAGTTCTCCTGTTCTTGGAACCATCTTAGTCCCCAGGGCAGACTTGTATAGCCTGCTAAGGAGAGTAGAACCATTCTGACATTTTTCAGAAGAAATTATGGCAATACAGTACTCCTTTTCGTTGGTGAAGATTCAATAAAGCAAACCACCAGTGCAAGTTTGAGTGTAGTTTTATTGTCTAATACTGTCTTGCTCTACTGTAGACGTGCATTTCCATTTTATTTAGCCTTTACATATGGTCCAACCCTCTTACTCTGAGTCTTAGAAAAATGATGGTGCACCCTGGACCCTGTCTCCCCCATGTGTCTGATGGGCTGACCCCAGTGTTGAGTGTACCTGGTGTACTGATGTTTGTGAAGTAAAGAGCAGACAATCAGTGGTGTTGACTCAGCAGAGGAACTCAGGTGTCCTGTTAACACGTGCCTCTGTCAGCTGGTGTAACCATGGCAACCAAGCTCTAACTACACGTACACATGAACTATTGTCCTGCAGACTCCAGCTATGCCAATTCATTTCTTCCATTGTTGGACATTTCATAGCAAAATTTTTGCAATTTTTGTAAGAGATAATCAGGCCATTTAAGTCTTCGTAATCCGTAAGGCAGCTGCCCAAAATCATCGTAATTCTTAATCAATACATCAGTCATAACGCGTGATTGTTCATTATCAGCTCTGAGAATTTAACATAATTTGTAATCGGCGGCAAAAATTTTGCATAATTCGCAATCACTACACCCCATGTAGGACCTCATTTAGATTTGATAAAAATTGATTCTACTGACCTGCATAAAACTATAGACTACATCTAGGTAAGAACAAACTCAAGTTTCAATTCTATTGGTAGTTTTGTGCTATTTTTTTCATTTCTTGTTTTGCTTGTAAAGTATGAGAAACAATTACAGGTGCCATTGTAGGAGAGCCCTAACCATTGAATCTAGCCGTGATCTGATCCTAAGTATGCCACTCGATCACAAAACTTGACAGTTCATTTCAGCCTCCTCCCATACTTTTCAGTGTACTTGAAAGTTTAATGGCATCAATCAAGTTGGTGCCAAAACCCAAGTCAGCATGGTCACTGTTCAAAGCAGAAGCTACGGAAGTTTGTATTCATACGATCCTCAGAAACTCCACATGAGGGCTGGTCTGTTGTGTTTGCTCTCACTAATGGATTATATCCCCATCCCGGCCCACCGTCCGGGGACCCCGGCCTGCTGACATGCTATATCATGTGTTCATTACCTCCCGCAGAAACATGGTGGCGTAGCAGGAGGGGTCCAGCACGAACTGGGTACGCACATGAAAGCTGTCACCGTGGGAACCATCACTGTCCGTTCCCTCCGACGAGCCACGCGTCTCCCGCGACACCGAGCCATTTGTGGTTGAACCCTCCCCCCGCCGCGTGTCACGTCCTCCAACACCTCCAGCGGATGTTTGAGATGGAGAATCGGTTCCCAACGACTTCCGTGTCATAGCAGCGGATCGTAAGTCTTGTTGAAGATCGCCATCGCGCAGCAGCTCCCATTCTAAGGCCTTCACCTGGGCAGTCACATGCCGGTAGTCTCCGGGGATGTTCAACTTTAGTGCACGCATCCGGAAGCTGTTCCTCTCAATTCCGTCCCCTTGTAGCGCTCTTGTGTACTCCTCCCCCAGCTGGTTGCTAGGATACTGGATGCTGTTGCCTGGCAATGGGAGGACGACATCGTGGATGGAGTACTTGCTTTGATCCACGTCTGCTTTGGTGACAGTTCTTACCTGGGAGGGAGGAAACAGGAACATAAATAGCTAATAAGTAAAGAATAGTTATACTGCACAGTTTTCTTTTATTCCATTAGAGGCAGAAAAGGCAGAATAACAGTATTTGTCCTCAACAATAAAGCAGAACTACAAAATCGTATGAAACCTTCCTACATGTAAGTCTGTACTGTAGTAAGCACCTCTTCAGAAGGGGCCAGACAAACTTAAGGTGTGTTGACTTTACAGGAGAGTTTGTGGTTTTCACAAGGATGTGTAAACAGGTGCAGGACAGTCCCCAGGTGTTTTCTGTCCACAGGTGAGGCCGTGGCATCCTGACCATTGTCTGTGTGTAGGAACCCCTCAGTAGCGTAATTCTCACGACTATCATGACGGGAAACCCACAAAGTCGACAACTTCTTAGAACAGAAAAGGCGCTGCATAAATTTTTCTGACAAATTGAGCTAGGGCTACACTGTTGCAATTTCTGCATGATCATGAGAGAGATGTAGATTTTATGAAGCATGGCTCAAACTCTCAAACTAGAGCACAGTCTGCAACTACCATACAGGAGATGCAATAATAAACAACAGGCACATTACAAATAATTAACAATTGACTACAACAAACTACAGTGTAAATCAGACAAAGCTGCATTGTTGGTGACAACTGCCCGGAAGAACACATTTCATTTGTAAGCTAATTATGAACTGAAGGTAACCCAACTTCAAACAGCAGTGAAAGCTGTGGGTTTCCAGTCAGGTCAGTGTGTAAACTGTACTGATGGCTGCTGTCAATTGATGAGACCTGGATGTTACAACAGGGTCTCTTCTTCACAAACATGGTCATCTTACAGCAACAGAAACTTTTGAGGGGAGTTTCCAGGTTTAGTTTAATTTTGACTGAATTGAGACTGATCTGAACTGAAGTTCTCTTCCTTTTTGAAAGATTTATTTTACAACAACAAATAAACTTGAAAAAGTCTATAAACAGGTAGCTGATTTTGTTTAGCCCATGCTGTAAGTACTTGATCCTGTTGTTAGTTACTTCCAAGGAGGTCAATGTAATCTGTTACCACCCAGTGTGAAGAGGCTTAGGCAATAGCAATTCTATCATTTGTTTCTCCAAAACACTCACCTGAAAATTTTTACAATTTGACACATTTCACGCCAAAAAAAATTAACCATAAAGCTTATTTTCCTTCACCTTCTCTTAGTTGAGTACTCTTATTTCTCAAAAAAGTCAAGGAAAAAAATTTCTACTTAGTACTGTGGATAATGACCTATAGAAGATTGGGATGAAGCTTACAGTTAGATATTACCGGTATGCAGATACAGGTGTGACCATTCATTTGATGTAATATGACTGCCATGTGTCTGTGAAGTTGGTATGTTATAAGATACAGATAAATCATGAAGAATAGATGAGTAAGAATCTGATGTTGATACAAGAAATTTTACCTTTCTGTTTCCAGAGTGGGTTTCCAGCACCAAGTCTCCTTCCACTGCCCGCCAGCCGTACGTTTGGATCCTGCTGGACACCATGTGGTTCCACACCAAACTGCAGTAGCTGTGCACGAACAGGGAGCGCATGGCGTGGGGAACGTTCAGGAAGGCCTTGGTGCAGCCCTCGTGGTCTGTCCCGTGTCGGCGCAAGGCCTTCAGGAGCAGGCACTCCCGCGTCTTGTACGCTGGCATGCGGGCCAGGGTGCCTGGAAAGTAAAGGACATGATCTATAGTCAAACCTGTGCAAGTGACCAGGAAAATGAGCCATGTATGACTGGTTTGTATGATACCTGTTTGAGTTTAATAGTTAAAAGTATCAAGACTTAGTATACCACAGTAAATAAGGTCCACCTGGTCAATGTGACCATTTCTTGCTGTTACCATTTTCCAAGTTCCTTGGGTTGTCACTATAGAGAGGTTTGACTGTAATAAAAGCTATCTAATATTGGTCTCAATCTAAAGGGCATATGATAGGTACAGTATATATAGGTTCAATATAGTACATGCATGTATAACAGCACAACATTCTCAACATTAGCAAGTATATGTGCAACAATATAGCATAGAAAACTCTTTTTGACAATAAGCAGTGGACCATGTTACAACAGATCTAGCTCTAAGAACTGCAGCCCTTTTCAGTAGCATGTAAGGCAACAGGTGGGATTAGAACACTAAACCTTCTGGTTATACAAAGAAGCAGGCTTGCTGGCCACTGTACCATTCACACTGTACACCCCTACCTGGAATGTCTCCTGTTCGCGCGTAGTACGCTTTCGCCGTGTTGACAGGATCGTCAGCGGGATCGGGGTGTAGCAGACATCCGACAGCCGCAGTCTGAACAGTAAACAAACAACGGGAGAGAGGGAGACCATGTTTGTTTGCGCCATACCGTCTTAAACTGGGCAAGACATTCCGACATGATTCCCTACAAGATTCTTAGCCACACAGGGCGGTTGTTCTTGGCATAATCCCACTTCGCAGTCACGATGCCTTAAGGTGGCTAAGAAAGTCGGAAGTAACCTCACCTGAAGTGTGTGATTAGTCTTTGAGAAGCAACCCTTTCTTTAAGACATAAGGGCTTGTCTCCACCCAGCTCTTTAAAGAGTAAACCTGGTCCTTTTCCCTCACAATAGAAGTGACTAAGGTGATTTATCATAACTTAGTTTCTCCTTCCGGTTGCTACAAATGTAAGCTGTAGTGCTCTGCTTTAAAAACAAGGATTTGGGACACCGTACATTACCTGGAGATTCACCCCAAACTTTTATTTGCTTAACGCCAATGTGATGTAATTCCTTGGTTCAGTCTTGAAGACATAATGCTTAATAAATAAAGGCTCAGGTCTCCCGATAACCCTACAACCCATTTCTTCAATGAACCATTTTAGCTTGGTCAGTACTGTCAGTTGTTACAGTCTAAAACCTGTGCTTAAAATCCATGTACAAGGATCTGGTCAAGTATCTACTTAAGGCCTCACTAATACAATTCCCTGGTTTTAAAATACTTGGAAAGTTTTAACTTAAAAGCCAATGAAACAAACTTTTTTCTTTAAGAGAGCAGGTAGAGGAGCTGTCTCAAGAAAAAAGATCCTGACAAGATCTTGGAACTAACTTAAAGATTTTCTCTTCAAGAAGCCTTGAACATGTTCTACCTGAACACCTCATGCTTACCATGTCCCCTTTCAGCAAGGCTCGTCCAACGTGGGGGGCGAAAGACTTGCTGTCTGCTGACCCAAATCTTTGCAGCCCGAAGTAGTTAAGGAAGCCTCTGTCCTGAAAGACACAAATGGGGTGTCCGACATGGTGTATTGACATATCACTTAGATAGGACTTCGCTTCACAACACAACACAACACAACACAACACAACACAACACAACACAACACAACGGATCTCATTTGATTGTGAAAAAATACAAGATGTAAACATGTAAGAATGCTGCGTAGGGTTGACCTACAAATGAACAGTAACTGTTATATAATTCAATATTGTGATGACAAGGATGAAAGGTTTACATATAGGGTCACCAGGGTAAGTTTAAGATTTCAAATCAATGCTCCACCATCATGGTGGAAATCATGTACTAAGTTTTCAAACGGATGCTAAATTTCAACAGCCTGTATGCCTACAGTTTTCATCACATTTGGTTTTGATAACTTTTCGTCGGGAAGGTCTTTTCCTAGAAAACCTCTCCCTTTTTTTTCTGGAACTGTCCAACATGCATGCTGGAAAGGCTTTTCGACGGGTAATGTCTTTTCCTAGAAAACCTCTCCCTTTTTTTTTCTGGAACTGTCCAACATGCATGCCGGAAAGGCTTGTCGTTGAGTAAGGTCTTTTCGTAGAAAACCTCTCCCTTTTTTTCTGGAACTGTCCCAACATGCATACCAGAAAGGCTTGTGTCTTAACTAAGGTTTAAAATCAATTCTGCCTGCCTGCCTAACATGACTGGCCATGGCCTTTATTTCATCCTGCCCAGCTGATGCCCAAATCACCCTGTCCAATGGATTATGGGAAACACACCACAACACTCAGCACCTCTGAGGGTAAGTTTGATGGGGGCAGGGCAGCAGCACCAGGAACAAAGGAGAAGCTATGCCTCACATTTGTACAGGACGCTGCGTTTACAGTCTGTGAACAACTGGTTTCACAACTGGCTTTCTTATGGTCAAAGAACAAACTGAACAAATTACATCCTCTAAAGCACAGAGTTGTGGACACAAAAAACTGTGAAATATGAGTAGTAATGGAGACTTTACAGCCTGTCTTGATAACTAAATTTGTCCTAAAGTTGTCCCTTTAAACATTTTTTCTCATTGACCCAAGCATGAAGAATCTTGTCTACAGCCTGTGACCATCTGTCCATTTTCTTGGGAGATGCACATATTTTCAATCTCACCCTAAAGGTTACATGCTTGTAAACCCTTTCGACCGAATCCAAAGACCTTGTAAACCCTTCTGACCGAATCCAAAGACAGTGTAAGATTTCCAAGTCATCTCCACTCCCTGCTGAGAAGCTACTTATCCCTGAATTAAAACAAATATCCTTGTAGACCTCAGATATTTCTGGCACAAGTTCAAGAAGCCCTGGGAACAATGGCGGCTCTGTTCTTCCCTCCCAGTACCCTCCTTGGAGGAGAAAGTCAAGCAGTTATTTCTCCGGTTGTCAAGGAGCTTCTTACAAGACAACTTAACACACATGGGTCAGCTGACAGGTGGGACTTCTTCTGACAGCAGGACTTCTTTTGGTCTCCAGGAAGACTTCCAAAGTGAGGAAATTGTTGATTAGCACAACATCTTCATGGGAGAAATGAACAAGCCAGGAAGTCCCTCAGGTGAAGACAGCTGAGACAGAGGAGTTAATATCAGTGTTTTGGTCTGAAGGACAGGAGATGGCTGAGAAGGTGAAGTCCCAACAGTCTCAACTAGTTCCTTGGTGGGGACATTGTTGAGTTTATGGGGTGAGGAGAAGGAGTTGTCTGTCCCTGAGGTGCGACAGGAAGTGTTGAAAGCAGCATCAGTCTGGAAGAAGTAACTCTGCAAACAGCAGGAGGTTGTCACATTCTTCAACGATTTCCTAGGTTATGCAATATCTGATTTATGAGAAATACTAAGTATACATGTATATACTGACTGTGATATAAAAGGCCTGGCAGTCTTGGTATCTTATTCACCACTTCCTTTGTATAGAAATTACTGATTTGTATTCTTTGGTGTCTGTAATAATAACAACAATCATCATTATAATATGTTTATTCAGTACTCAATTACAAAAGAGTACAGACTTGCAGAGTGCCCTATAGTGAGTGCTACTAGTCTTGAGTATGATGCAATGGGCCTGGCCTTCACATACCATTACTCCTGGCATTAGTATCTTAGGATTTCTTCATCTGGAAGAAATATTAAGGATTAATCCTATCAGCGGGAGGTCCTTGTAAGTATGAGATGAATGACTTCCTTACTGACATGTTAAGGGAGATGATGAAGGAGCGGGCAATCCCTTGGCCAAAATAGAAGTATTCATATCAGCAACTTAAGACGTCTTAGTCAGAACAGGTGTGACTCTGCTGACAGGAGACGTCCCCTGATGGTCTTGAGAAACTGTCAAGGTGCCAAAGAGGTTACACTGAGCATGTCTTGAAGGATAGGCCAAGACAGTCCCCACAGAGCTGAGGTGGGAGTGTGAACATGTAGGAATGACAAAGGTTAGCTTTATGCATGTAGGTGGTCATGGCAATATTCGGAAATGTTTCCTGGGGAGCAAAATTGATGATAAACAGAACTGATCTTGGAAAAGGATGAACTCTTGGAAGGCCATATCCTGCAGAGAATTAATTTCCTTGGTTCGTTTCAAAATGTTCAAGTGAAAGTTCAGCAAAAGGACAAGTTGAAGGACGGATAAAATACATTTTGTAATTCTTACTGGGGTTTCTTCATGAAACTGTGTGCACCAAAGTATAGACTTATCTCTCTTACTCCGTTTCCATGTTGATTACTCCAATCTAAATCAATTATGCCTTTTGAGGCACAGAACCAAGAACTCCAAGTGGTGTGTCCAGAAGATTTTAAAAAAAATTGCATACTCGTGATTTCTAAACTGTTTTCCTCACAAGAAAACAGTTGACTGATACACAAGAGGTAAACTGGTAAAGTACAGAACAAAACTCATGCTCCTGTGCCCATACTGGTCACCTTCCTGCTCCCTACACAAATACCTGTCTAATAACATTTTCATCACAGTATATTATAATCACGAAGAAAGTTGGCCTTTTGACACCTGGTGTCATCAGTCAATGTCTTCTACCTATCTCCAGAGAACCAAGTGTGGCCTACACAAAGATTAAATCATGCAGTGGATTTATCTATTATGCTGATGTGTGATTGGCAAAAGTCACACTTTTCTTTAAATTACATGTTAGGCAAGCCACCACTGGTACAGTAGAGCATTCCAGGTATATCCAAAGACCGTGGATTCTTTAATTCCACAGCAGTGGCTCATCATTTGAGTTCAGTAGGGACATTCTAGGATCATCATGATGATCAATAGCAGTTAGAGGACAGGGCATTCGAATTCAGTGTTACTGACATAACCAGCTTTGCACTTGTGCATGTGAAGCTGGTATACGCAGAATGACAGTTATAACTTGTTACTGGCTACACAGATACAGATACACAAGATTGAGCACCAGGAGACAACATTTCCTGGCGTTGCATCAAACCACAGACTTCCGGCTGAATCACACACTTCATTACTTATTCATAGTCTAATCCCCTTCAGAACAGGTGTCTGTATTATTTCCTACAGTCCTATTGACACCATCCCCACCCTGCCCTCCCTGATGTGCCATTACTGCTGACCTGATCCCTCATTACACAAACAAGGGGAATCTCCCGGGGACTGACTCAGTACAGCTCACTCTGGGGCAATATCACTACCTCAGCATCATAATACAACTCTGCAAAGGGACTGTTCGTGAGGTAGTTTTAGGCCAGTTGTTGTTGGTTCTTGGATTTCTAATAAATATGCTTAACAGTTTAATAGTTAATTTGGAAAAATATTATGATAACAATGCCCAAGGACCAGATTTTAGCCAAGCCACAGTGCACTCAGATTTATCACAGATTTATGAATGGAAATACAGTCATATTCAAGAACCTGTCACAGCTATTCTGCCCGCTGCTTTTATGATGTCTTCTTGCTACATTTTCACCTTAAAATGTCAAAAACCAAAGAAATGAATTTGTGTAGCCTTAGTAAGAATATCATGATTTTATTATAATTGTAATCATGGCAGTTTGATGAGTTTTGTTTTATGATATAGCAATAAAAAGTGTTTTGCTCTGTTTTATGATAAAGCAATAAAAAAAATGTCTGTTGTAACTTTTGTCTGATGAAAATAATTGGTGATAGAATGTTTCATCACATCACTTTTTGTTATTACTGGCAACCATACACAACATACTCATAGTAAGGCTCTCCCAAACACAGGACCAAACCTTGATAAACTGTCCAAAAGGTCTATCCTACTTGCAAAATGTCTGCATGTCTGGGTACATGTACACCCCTATGTTCTGACATACATTCTGCAGGAAAGATTTTTTCTGCAGGAATTTTATAGTAATTCCTGCTGAAATTCCTGCAGGAGGAAAATTTTCAAAATGAAAATTCATGAAAGTTATTACCATCATTCATAACTGTACATCATACATGTCAAAATGCTTTGATATTGAAAATATTAGCACTTGTCAAAATGGGAAAAGTCAGGTCAAAGTGGAGGGTGTAGTAGGGATAGGATTGTCGTAAAATAGGGACGTAGAAACTGTTTTGCCAGGATTCAAACCTCGAACTTTCTAAATGTACATGTAATACAGCTGCACTGTTGCCCAACACAAGATGAGTCTGCATGCTACCTGTTAATGCATCCACCCATCCAGAACAGTACAGGTATGATGTAATATCCCCTGACTGGTGTGTCAGACAGTGGATTTCCCTGAGGTCCTCTCAGTTTGATGGTTCAAAGTGGTGCTATTTCCCTGGTGGGATCTGGTATTACATCAACATACAACAGGTCAAACCCATATCATGGGTAGTTTATCATCACTGATGAGTTCCTGTCTGTGCTCATCTTCCTAAAGCCAGCATCACGCTGTTGATGAAGTTGAATCGACCAAATTTCTCAATCACTGAGTCAAAATTTCGAGAGACTCTACCATGTTATACTGGATGGGGCTCGGTGAACATTTCAGGATCCCCAGAAAATCCTGCAGTGATTGAGAGGACACTGGCCATTTTCTGGCAAGAAATGTCCCTTTGAGCACACAGACTGCAAGCCTGCTTCTTTGCACCTGCCTAGGCTACCATATTCTCTTTTTGCAAGGCAAATAAACATACTATTTACCATTGACTGAGAAAAATAACAAATATGAAGTGAAAAGAAATTGTCTTGCCTGCTTACATTTGTGTTATGTAATTTGAGCCAAAGACCAAAATAAAGGAACAGTGAAGTCTTGTTTCTGCTCCTTGGGTTTTCCATCAAATGCTCCCTTATTACAATGTCTAAATGACTTTTTCCGACCCAGCAAATGTTTGCAAGGTTGTTTCTGATGTCACGTCCCTGTAGGTAAGGTTATCACAGAAACACAATAAGGCCTGGATTTGTCGCCAACATTTGTGCAAGGTCGTCCAGTCTGTGTCTAATTCAAGGTCATGGTGAATTTGCGGCACTACCTTTGATAACTGGGTCAAAGGTGAGTCTTAAAGCTCCATGATAAACAGGATTTCAGGTTGTAGTCAGGTTTTGAAGGCTTCGGTCTGGTTCACCATTGCAAGGAGGTTAAATACAACCTCCTTGACCATTGGTAGGTTTTTTGTTTTTAAGAGTAACGTTTCACTCTTTCCATTCTGCCAGCTGTTAGCTTACAGATTACCAATATATAAAACTGGTATTGTTTACATACACCTTTTCATTTGGGACCACCATGACACAACATGAAGCATATTCCCTATCAGGGTGATGTTCTGCTTGGAACCTGTATCAGCGCCCCCTGCATTCTTAAACAGAACTGCACTACATCATTAGAATGTAACTGTTTCAGATCACTAAGTAAAAATGTTATGTTTTCAATTCTGAAGAAAATACAAATGACTCAGACAATGGCATTTCTGGAGACAATTTCCAAGAATTTTGATCCTTAAATTCTGGTATAATTACAGTAATTAGTCTGCAAATCATGCAGGATCCGTGCATGGCTGGTCATGTTTTGACAAGCTAGAAGTTTATGTAATTGATGTGTGGCTTTGATTTCCTGATAACTCTCACACACCTGGCCTGCTGGAATAATACACAGGAATATGACACCAGATGTAACCTTTATGTGTATCATTCCTGCCATTCTATAAGGCAACTCCAACAACAGTCAACACATTCAGATATGTGCATCTGTGGGTTAATCATAATATCAAATTTAATGTTGAGATTGTACTGTATGTAGCTGGTGTATCTACATGTACACAAATTTTAGCAAATTTTGGACTCTTTCTGCTACAAATTTTAAAAATTCAAAGCAATGCTAAGTACAGCAAACTTGAGATAAAAATGAAATTATGAATATTTCTTAAGGCCATTAGAGAGGGAAAATAGGATGTCTTACTCTAAGACATATTTCACCATATGTTTCACACTTTAAGGCCCTTCTAACAAGGTGCCCAACTGTTGATCACAACAGTCATGTGATCCTCACCACAAGCTGCCCCTATAATCGCAGAGTTCTGCCCCCTTCACTTCTCAGGTGTGGATTTCTGAAGTTGTGTTTATGGTTTCCTTGTCCTTGGGAACAGGAGAACTCCCAAGAACCCCAACATTCCTTCCAGCCTCTTTAAAACTCATGAAGAGTCATCAATACGACCTTTGAGGAATTGTAAGTGAACAGAATTTTATAATTAACTTAAAAGGTGGTTTGGTGCTTTTTGCTTAGTTTAACTTTTCTTGAAAAAAGTACAAAAACGAATCAGATGAAAACTTGGTACCTTAACGATGTTCATGGCAGTCCTCACCACAGCCTCCAGGTGGTCCCTGTTTCTGGTATCCCCCTCACACAGCCTCACGTCTCTCAGCAGCACCTTGAAGACGTTCCCTGCCAGGTTGCCCAGACGCAGAGGCTGCTGACAGAGGAGGAAGTTCTCCATCTTCACATCCTTCAGGCAGGGGTGGGCAGCAGCAGAGCGCAGTCTTGGAACACAACACACTCAGTCTGGTTACCTCTAGTCTGACAACAAACTACAACATTTTAGAGACTTTCAAGTTCAGTGTATCTCTATAGTATAGGCCATACCAATTCAAGTTGGTGGTGCTTGGATTTAAAGACAAAAAGAAAGCAATACTAACTGAAAGAGCAGCATAAAAAAAAGGTTCGGTTGAGCTTATATTTTATATTTCCAGTTTATACTTTTATAATTATACGTTACCTAATTATTATCCTCCATGAATGTTCTGTAAGTCTCCCTTCATTTTGTGACAGATTTAAGGACACCATCTTCTGTCACCAAAGCCAAACAGTATGAAGGACCATCAAAGACAGGAAGCATGACTGAGTGATGATTGACAGGTGTGTGGGACAAACAACTGGTGACAAACTGTTCTTTTTTAGGTGTTTAAAGTAAAAGGGGGTCATGACCTTCAAAAGGTCAGTCACGATTTTCTTTTTCTTCAAACTTCCAGCAAGTGACAGCTGTATGGGATAACAGCCACTGTTCTTCTGAGTAAAAGATCTATCAGATATTTTATTTTCCTTCGAGATCAACTTCCTTGCTTCTAGTAGAGGCAAGAAGCCTGAAGCACCATGGGCTGATGATGGAGGAGGTTATGATCGCCAGGTGATTGGGATAACTGACTGGTGACAAACTGCTGTTGTCCTCATTTAACCTTCACTCAGGCTGGTGTTCAAACTACAATGTCATGACCTCCAAAGAACTGTCAACAATTTCCTCTGTCAGTAGTGCCAACAAGCATAAAGTATGACAGACAACAGTGTGACTGATCATGATGGACAGAAGCATTGGACAACAGACCAGTGCCAGACTGTTCTTTTCCTGTCTTTCTCACAGACTAATTTTTGTGACCTTGAGAAAGTCTGTCAACAAATTCTTTCTTCTTCCCCACTCCTGTCAGTAAAGCCACACAGCATGAAGGGCAAGGGAACATAGTTTTGTGAGAGTGGCGATGTCTATAAATTCAAGCATTGTGATCATATTTCAGTCAGGCTTGTGTTCATAATAAGTGACGTGAAGGTCTGTCAACGACTTCCCTCTCCTTCCCAGCTTCCTTCAGAATCTGTCAATGGGACCAAGAAGCATGAAGGGCGCAGAAGTCAGCGATGAGGGAAGGGTGTCGTGGTTGCTAGGAGGGACCATGCTTCTGTGCAACCATGGTGACAGGTTGATACTCATACTTATTAAATGTCTCCTTTCTACTTTTGCACATGTATGTCAAAGAAAGTGGGTGGGGGGATATCTGCCAAAAGCTGCTTATTCCAGTGATTCCCTCTTACCTGACTATCTAGAAACAGAAGATTACTTCAGGTCTGGGGTAGGCTGTCAAGGAATGTCATTGTGTTACTCCTTAAGAATCTTAATGAGAAGATGATCTACCTCCCTCCCACTCACGTTGGAAATACCTGAAATTCCTGAGGTTCCTCCAGTCTACCTTAACAGGTAAAACGGAAACCTGAGGGTGTCTCAAGAGGACTGTGCACAAGGAAAACTCAATTACAGCTACAATACAATAACAGCCTCTGTGCTAGGGTCATGGGACAAAACAGAAATATTTGTCTGGAGTTTGTCTGGTGGATGAAACAATTCAAAGGACTACCTAATTCATCAAGTAAGGACTAGGAAAAAATCATTGTTTTTCTGGTTACCCGATGGAGCCAAGCAAAAACCTGCCAACCGTAGCAACCTCAATAAACATGTTTATTGAGCTAAACTGATTCAAGATCACTTTGCAAAACTTAGCCTGTATCTTAACCCTTGTCCTGCTGGCAATTTTTACACAATATTTTCAAATAATTTCATGTCTTAATCAGGTCACAGACCCTTGACTTTTTTTGCCCTGCGGCGGCGTAGTTACTTCCGCATTCGTTGCATTTCGCTGCGGTGTGATGCGTTGCACGAGAAACACCCCCAAATCGCACATATACAGGGTGCTATATAGATGGTACTGTATGTGCAACCCATATATATATGGGCCCCGCAGGACAAGGGTTAAGAGGACTTCAGTCATCTCCAAGGTGTACTGTCTTAGCTGACTACATTTTTGTCCTGCTCCTTAACCTTTTCACTACCTCAGTCTTCAGAAATGTACGGTTTATTTAGAAATTCCTGGTATGGCTAATAAAATATACAGTAGACTACCACTGCATCACTACTGTAAACAGTGTAATTGTCACCTTCCTTCCCAAACAATGTCTGACCTCAGCTACACTTTAACTGAGTCATTACATTAGAATTTCTGGTTTCCACTGTTGATACTTGAGGCCTAATAAGACCTCAGAACGACCTTCTTCATAATCTAACTCCAGAGGTCAAGTTCTTTTCTGACCTTGGCTATTCCCATTGCTACTCTTTAAGTCATTATTATCAAGAAGTCTGACTTTCTTACAGAACAGATTGCCTCTGAATGTTGATACTTTCTGTCCCAACAACACACCAGCCTGACCTTGCATGTAACCTTACACCAGAGGTCTAGTTCCTTAAATTTCTGCACAAGTTCAGAACAACAAACCTTAACCTTCCAGGGTCAACAATGTCTTCCACATTTCCCGTGCGTCTTAGGATTTGCTGTATGTTTTCGGGCTCTCTGTTGACAAATTAAGTACTCCATAACATGAGACTGTAAGGTTTACATAGGCATACAATGTAGTGGTATGCCAAGTGGTGGAAAGACCAGATCAGTAGAGACACAGGACTTTCAAAGTAGCAGAGTTTAGGGTGAGCAATTTCTTTTTTTTTTTAAATTCAAGAACCACCGCATTAGATTTGCATGGCCTACAGTGATAGTAAGGTACATCTACAGGTGTACAGGTGTTTCTCACCTATCAGATGTGACCCCCCTGGCTGCCATGGCCTGCCAGGTGATGGCCCTCTTGTCCTTTACACCTGCGTAGCTGAAGTCGGAGGGGTGAGCCGAGATGCACCTGGCCAGCCGCTGGATCACGTCAAGTGTCTCCAGGTTCGTCTTACACAGGGTGAAACCTGCCAGGATAGAAAAACGTATTCAGGATAAAACTTTCCTTGATTTGAAGAAGTTGGATCTTTCTGTTAAAAAATGTAAAATGAATTCTACAGCATCTTTTTATTGTTTAATTTACCTCTTCATTATCAAATCACTACTTTAATTTTTTTTCAGAAGACCTACTGTATAAAAGAACTAAATTTTATCTCACTTGTATAGAATGTCACAGGTGTTTTGCCTTCACAGTTCTTCCTCTTCTTCCCCTTATCCCTGAACCGTACAACAATGAAACTCCCCTCCCCTTCCTCTGCAAAAGTCTTTGTCTCCAGGAAGGACCCATAATGCCTCGCCACGGCCCTGTGTAGCTCAGTTCTCTGGTCCTTCGAGCGACACTCTGGAAACTTAAACACTTCTGAGGTTTCCCTCTTGTTCACAAACCTCATGAAGTCATCTACAACTCTTTTATCCAGTAAGGAACAAAATGACCAATAAGTCTTGTCTGGTACCACATTGAAATAGCAGTCAGTTGATGTAGTTTTCAAGTGTGGATATCTGGACTTTATCTCTTTATGCAGGATTGACCGCTCCATTTTGGAGTCAAACCTTCCCAACAACAGTTCCGAACTAGTAACGTCTGTATCACACTGTCCTTCTTTTTCAGCTTCCAATATTTGGTTGGAAAAGTCTTTCAGCAGATTGATTCTCTCTTCTCCAAGAATTCCTTCCATGTCCAGAGTAACAGCTTCTTCAGTTCCTGTCTTGTCTCCTTCATGGCTGCTATCCCGGCATTTTTCCATTCCATCTCCTGCAGAAATGGAAGTGGTTTCTACGGATTCCTGACTGCAGCTACTTTGGTCCTGTGCATGTCTATTGTGTGAGGCTGGTGTACTCCCCATCACCACACTTTCTATTCTCTTTACTGTAGCCAAATCGTCTTGAACGGAAAGTTTCTCTCCCATCTTTACTTTCTTTTCCTGGTGCTTATCAGTACTGACTGATTCTGGGGCTGAATCTTTCCCATCAACTTTATGCAGATCATCCTCTATCAAAACTTTCTCTTCATCCTTTGCTTTCCTCTCTTCTTGCTGTGCACCTTCAACTGAAAATGTATCACCCTGATGTTTATCATCACTGGGTCTGTCAGACTTTTCTGCCTCTGTGATTGGGTCACCTTCTTCCGATCCAACACTGATGTTTCTCTCGACGGAATTTGGTGGGATCCCATCCTTTCGGAACGTCCTCAGGAGGACAAACCAGGGTTTCCATCGTTGTTGATCTCAATGACCTTAAAGTCTTCTGGAAATGCTTTGATTTTCCCGCAGAACGGTTTGTGAGAGGAGAGGTGACAAGTGATGCCACACTCCCTATGGAGCCTGTGTTCCTCTGCACTGCTGAAGTCCTGGTCATCTATACTGAGATCTGTGTCTTCCATGTTGGGTTCTGCGTCAATCAATTAAGGTGAATGGATTCAAGAGTGCTGCAAAACAGAGAAAAATATTTTCAAAAACTTTTAGTTCAAGTTCAGATTTGTTTGTTTACCTATATTGAGCTCTGCGTCATCCATGTTGGGTTCTATTGTGCCCTGGCTTCACACACTGATACGTCAGTGCTACAAAACAGGGGCAGAGTATCTGGTTTGAGTGTTAAAAAGTTGTGCTTATATACAGATTACCTTATAGAAAAATGTACTAGACACTTAAAGCAACATGCATGACATTGTACAGATGGCATTCAAATGAACAGAGAATGACACAGGCTTTTCTGTGGATAGAGAATTTGCTTTTGCTAACATCAACATTTCTGAAAAAGGTACAGTAATTCAAACACTGTCATTTCACCGTATCCAAAGTCACTGAGGTGCATCTATTAAACCGAGCTGTGTTGAAACAACAAGACTTAACATGATTTCACACCAAAACAAAGCTGTACCAACATTCAAAATGATGGACTCTGGACATCCTTTAGTTTTTGCTTACTTTTCTGCACAAAACCAACTACTGGAAGAGACAATTTACTTTAAATTATGATCAAGATGTAATTATCTCTCCTAGTCCATACATGTAGTCATATTCCTTAAGTGAAAGTTGTGAAACACGCCAACTTTGCATGCATGTGGTGGTAGTAAGTTATTACATAGAATGTAAATGCCACGGCTAACTTTTGCGCATCTTACTCTTACTCAAAGCTACTTTTTGTCTTTTATCCGCCCCCTCCCCCCAAAAACATCAACCATATTTCTGTTATCTCACGTTATATTCCATGGGCTTTGACATGAACACAACTACCGACAGCTTTGCTACGGGTATCATAAATGTTCTAATTAGTTTCACATTGAAAGTAAACGACACGCACATAATGAACGTAGAAACAAACCTTTCGGTAATTTTTTCGTCTGCCACGAACTATGACCCTCAGACTGTACCACTGAAGCAGGGTAGGGGGTTACCAGTCACCGCCTGTCAAGCTCAACAGAACTTCAAGGAAAGCCGACTTGACGTGGCACTGGGGATGTCTAGTGACCAAATAATTACTGCAGGTAATCGTCAAGGCGGTGCGATACAGCTGCAGTACCAACAGCAGTAAATAACGGTCGCTTTTGATACATGCAAGGGAAGGAACATGCGTCGCAAACTAAATACTGAAGGTCATTTAAGGCTGCCTAACATTCCAAACAGCGCAGGTTAAAGTTGACGGAGTGAAAGGTGGCGGCCGTTCGCTCCATGTTGTTGTTGTTCCTGTGCTCTACTCTCACGGGTCGTGCCGGGGCCGGTAAAGTGTTAATGATGGGGCCGAGCGGCAGTCACTGGCTCAACCTGGTCTACCTGGCGGAGGGTCTGATCAAGTAAGTCTCACCTGTAGCACAACCTGGGTGAAGGTTTGTTCAGGTCTCACCTGTAGCTCTACCTGGTTTACCAGGGTATTAGATTTGATCAGGTAAGTTTTACCTGTAGCTCCACAGTACATGGTGGAGGGTCTGCATGCTCTTTTCCGTAAGGCGTAGGCGGGCCTTTTTAATTTCTGGTACTGTAATTCGTAGGGAAGTTATTTTATTTACCGTAATTCGTAGTGAGGAGGCGAAAATTTCCCGTAAAGCGTAGCCAGCGCATTTCACGTAAAGCGTAATCGAGCCTAAAATTCCCCGTAAATCGTAGTCTGGACTCCCATTTTTCGTAAGCCGTAGCGGACGAACCAGCAACCAGCGGATGACATTTTGGGTCAACGTCGTACCCAGGATTTCTATTGTCTAACCTGGACACGAGAACACCCATGACATCAGTGGACTTCTGTGCTATTATTGGTCAGTATTGGCTGGGTGACGGGAGCACATCTGGAGTCAATCTCAGTTGCATCCTCATCTTGTCTGTCCCTTTCTTGCCTGTCTGGGTACATGTGTGTTTTACAATCCCACCATGGCTCACGCGACGCCCGTGATTGTGTGCATTTTATCGCATACGGGGTCGATTCTGCAGCTGACCCAGTATCGGTGCAATGTGGAGTCGTCAGTGTTTCAAGACAGCGAAGTGACTAATGTGAGTTAGTTGATAAACAAAATAGACGAACAACTCGGGATAAAGGAGGCAGCCAGGCAGACCAATCTGCAGATGACAGACACTACTTTAGCGCCAGAATTTAGCGTAAAGCGTAGCCGGCCTCCCGGAATTTAATGTAAAGCGTTGCGAGCCTTGATAAATTTAGCGTAAAGCGTAATCAGGACCCCCCATGCAGACCCTCATGGTGTACCTGCATGGCATCAGGTATTTAGTCTGATTTTGATACCTGCTCCATTTCTGCATTGAAACTTAATGTCTGCAACACTAATGTTATTTCACATCCAGAAGAGGCCACGAGGTTGTTTCCCTAGTGCCGTCTAACCTGTACGCCAGTCAGCAGAAGGCGCTCACCTCCCCCACACGACTCAAGATACGGCTGGAGAAATATCAGGTACAGGTGAACACCTGCTGTGAAAGCATAAGTTTGGTCTGCCTTGTAACATTATCTATGTTCCACGGGCCATGCTGCAAGGATTGCTAGGAGCAGACCTCCCGCTGTGACATCTGCCCAGTCTTTAGTCCTTATGTCTTCTTGTTGTCTGACACCCGGCCCTGGCTTCTCTTTGCAATGTCTAGATCATTAATGGACAATCGTCCTAGGCTGCCATTTGATTTCATGTAGAATTTGAGATTTTGCATCATAATACATGATTGTATGATTGCCCCAAGAATGCCGTAAGCAATTGTACTCTGCCTCCCCAGGTCCCGCTGGAAGGTGATGTATTTGATCGAATGATGCAGCTCCAGGTCCAATTCTCACTTGGAGATGCCCAGGAGTTCTCTGCCTTTGGGTTCGCCAAGATGATCTTTGATAACTTTGGTGACGCCGTCAACTTCGGCAGGGTGGAATGCGACACTCTGCTGCAGAACCAAGAACTGCTGTCCAGGTTGAAGGACATGAACTTTGACATCATCATCATAGATCCCATGGCCGTCTGTGGGAGCATCTTAGCACGGCTGCTCAAGGTCATTACCTGTAAACATAACTTCTCAAGGTCATTATTGTCAACATGGTATCTCCACGTCATTACCTATTATTGATTGATCATCATCATCACTGCCTTCAGGTTCCGCTCGCCATCATGGAAGCCCCGGCCATCGCGACCTTACACCTGAGCCTCACCAGTCAGGTTCCCGTTCCCATAGCAACGTACTACTCCCACAGGACGGGGTTCATGCAGAGTCTGAAGAACCTGGGATATCACCTGCTGATGGGGCTGTTAGCCAGTCTGATGGTGGGAACATGGATCCGCTCGCATCCCGGGCTCTCGGGTACCAGGTGAGTGTTTATAGTTTGAGGGCATTCATGGGACGTGTTGTACAAAATTCAGCTGTCCTGTGATGGAAATGGTTGACAGCTATATTTATTTGTACAGATACATTGTATATGTAAGACTTGGTAAGTAGAAACTGGTGTGTTTATGAGTAATTGTACAAGAGGGTTCTTCAAAAGTACATGACTTCATTTGATAACATACAGCTAGGGCTATACAACTTTCCGAAGGCTATCGGTGGTGCAGAGGGCTAGCACTGGTAACTGAACAAAATACAAGTGGTTACAAGGTGTAGATCTCCTTAAATGCCCCATCAACAGCTTAAAACATTCCAAAAAGCACAATAAATGTTACAAGCAGTGCTTCAATTTGGGTTCTAAACTCAGAATGTCTGAATTCAAATGCATGACCATATGGTCCAGAAGCAGATCTTCTAACTACTAAATTAAAGCATGCTACAGGTGACGATTGTGGAGCTGTCGGCAGAGGCAGACCTGTTCCTTATGCGGGAAGACTCCATCGTGTACCCCCCACACCCACTCATGCCCAACATGGTACAGATAGGGGGGTACCACGTGCAGACCGTCAACCCCCTGCCTAAGGTAACCTCCCTCAGAAGTTGCTTGAGTATGTGATATGATATGCCTGTTTAATATCGTGCGAATGTTCCTATTGTGCGAACAGGGTTTGTTCTTCATAAGCATTATGATGCATTAAACTCGATTCTATTCATTCAATGGTAACAAGTACAGGTGCTGATGTTTTTTCCAGACCTGTAGAATAAGAATCCAAGCCACAAATAGGAACCAAGAAAAAAAGGTTTTCCTGAAAGTGGCTGCCAAGATTGCCGTACTCTGCCAGAAATCTCACATAACCTTTTGACTCGTTTCTGTCAGGATCTTGAAGATTTTATGGAGTCTTCAGGAGATGCGGGCGTGGTCGTCTTGTCCTTTGGGTCCTATGCCAAGGTCATGGGCAGGAGGAAAGCTGAAATGTTGGCTGAAGGCCTGGCAAGGGTGCCATTCAAGGTCATCTGGAAGTTTCAAGGTCAAAGGCCAAAAAACACCGGAGAGAACACCCTGTTAATGGACTGGATCCCACAGAATGATCTACTGGGTAAGGAAAGAAAGAAATTATGACATTTGGCAATAAAGGAAGCTGTAAAACACCACATAAGGGGGGAGGGCAAGCATTGCTGTCTCAGCTTAGCCCCAAACTGAATCTCCATTTTAAATTTTTTTCCAGCTCACCCGAAGACACGTCTGTTCATCACCCACTGTGGCATTAATGCCGTGTACGAGGCAATGTTCCATGGCGTGCCCATGGTCAGAGTTCCCGCTTTCGCAGAGCAGCATGGGAACAGCAACAACCTGGAGACCCTGGGAACGGGAGTCACCCTGGACATCTTCACCATGACCTCGGATGACCTTTATGAAGCCATCATGGAGGTCGCCAACAACAAAACGTCAGTTGACATTTTGACAATCTGTGACACTTATCATAGAACTGTAACGTTATAACATAGCCAATCATTTGATGGATGTCATGCAGACATTATTCTGCTTATCCCTGTTTTTGCAGGTACAAATCTAACGCTGTACGGCTGGCACAGCTCCAGCGAGACCAGCCGCAGTCTCCCATGGACCGTGCCGTCTGGTGGATCGAACATGTCATCAGACATGGCGGCCTGCCGCACCTCAAGTCAGCTGCACGCCACCTCAGCCTGCTGCAGTACCACCTGCTGGACGTGGTGGCGCTGCTGTGTGTGGCAGTGGTGGCAGCAGGGCTTTTTCTGTGGCTCTGCTGTCGGTGCTGCTGCCGAGTTTTGTGTGGGAAGAAAACAGCTGCCAAACAGAAGCAGCAGTGAGAATGTGTAATACTCTGTGTGGAGTCAAGAAATAGTCCTGTCCTTGGTGCTGAAAATTGATACCATGGCAAACTTGACACTATGTGTTTATATACCTCAGAGTCTATGAAATAAGGACACTAACCTGTCCTTGGTGCTGGAAACTAACCTGTCCTTGGTGCTGAACACCACCCTCAGTAAGGAAACAGGTCCTTTTAAAGCAAAGTAGGCAACAAACATCACTATCATTCCTTCTGCGTAATTAACAATTGCTTGGAGATGACCAAGGCCCAGCCAGGAAATGTTGCATACACTTATTTCAGCAATGATAAAAAGCACTTGGTGTATTCAGAGTGGAGACAGTTTGCCTTTTAATACGTCTTAACAGGACAATCAGAAAATGGTGCGATCTTCCCTTCCAACACCAGCATGGAGATTACAACATTCAAACTCAACCATGAAGTGTTGCATACCTTTAATGCACCAATAGCCATATACAGACACAGATATACCAAGATTGCCATACAAAAACGGAATTTCTACAATAAATATCGAGTAGTGTTCACCTTCTCCATAAGGTCTGTATGTACAGGCTGACGTCTAGTTTCAGCACTTTTCATGAGCCACCATAGCTGACAGTGGAGACACGTGGGCATCTAGAGGCTACAAACGTTCACATCAAACTACTCTAACAACTACAGACAAAATTAAACTCAGAAAAAGAGCTAAAGTCAGCTGCCTGTTGACACTGTGTACAGTAATACATGGACATGATGCAGTACAGATCAGAGTGCTTCACATGTACTAGAATAAAAGGTACAGCAGGCATAGTACAAAGTTTTTTTGTTTGATCCAATGCAAAGGGACACTCACCATGGCCATAGAAACTTGTCTTTCGTGATGAATCTTTTCATTCTAAGAGCTACAACAGGCATAGTGCAAAATGTTTTTAAATCTAAGCTCTAGCACACATTGAAATACAATTGTAACTGTTCCACTAACCATATAACACCCCTTGTATTAGATCAAACCTTAACACCTTTGTGCTATATCTGTAAACCCCAACACAGATGTGAGCTCTTGTTCTAAGAGCTACAACAGGCATATTTAGAACTCTGGATTTTCATATTTTACATGGACCCTCTCTACTCCTGGCCTACTGCAACTCTAGCACCATTGGTGATGTGACGTCTCCACAGTCAACAACTCTACAGTCGGCGTTCCTGTCTACAGTCAGTAAAAAACATGTTCACCAGCAATGGTTCACCCATGCATGTGGGCAGTTATTTTACAAAATGGTCTTAAGGGTTAAAACTCTAAGTGTAGCTGTGAATGTACATCTTTAGGCCGATCTTTCAACAATCATTTGCTATTCAAACAAAATGAATAAAACAGTGTAGATGATGACTTGTTAAAGAAATTAGGATATGTTGTATGTCGACTGATTCTGGATGTAAAAATGGCTGTAGTTTTCTTATTCATTTGCAAGGAGTCTTACAAATAAATATTTTTGGAGTATGAAATACGAATAAGAGAAATATGTAGTTGTACTAACCCCTCAGACATGGGTGAAGCACAGTGGAAATATTTCTACCTGCCAACAAGCCTCCTCACTCCTTTAACAATCCTAACATAACACAGCAGAGAACGGTAAGTGTACTTGCTATATATTCTAAAGGCTACAGCTAAATTTTGTACATCCTAGAATAAGTCAGCTTTAGTCCGGAGATATCTAAAGATGCACCATTATTATTCTGTACAAACATAATGTGCAGGAATTCTTTTAAAAGCAGTATTCTTCATATTGTGACTTTACAGAATAACTGCATTGTATGACTGAAGTAAAATCTCTTTTGTAACTTTTACATGATGATGTATCTTCAGTCTATTTACAAATAAAATTGTGACATTTAAAATTGTGATATCAACATAATATTACATAACATACAATTTTCAAGTTATTCATAAGGTCTAGTATAATATATGGTATCTAAAACATCTCCATACTTTTATAATAGTTACAAGAGCATGATAACAAGATACTGCTGTACAACTTCATGGCTACATCTACAGCTTTGGTTTGCTCCATGCTAAAGACGTTGATTTAATAAAATGGACAAAATGGACATAAACATCCATGTGGATCTAAAACAACCTTTTGTTGATAAAATACCTCATAAAGTTATGATGACATACTAATGCCAAATGTCCTGATTAACAAACATTTGTCATACATTTTACAGAAGAATTTGAACTTAAGTTTCTATGACATGCATGTTTTCTCATTTCATTTTAATCTTTTATAGCTTATAATGGCTCTGTACATAAATCCATGCATGTACACAACTGACAAAGGGCTATGAAGTGATAATAAAAAGGAAATAAAAACATCTTTGCCCTGCAAAAATCTTATTTTGGGCTGTTTTCCAGTACGGATTTAAAACCTGTCTCATCGTTGCCCAACTGAAGCTTGAAAATATACCACTTCAGTATGAACACTTTCAAAACACTTGTCGACTGTGGACAAAATATGATGAAAGATTGATAACACTACAAATTGGAATTTACAAAAAAATGCAACAAATTTGTTCAAATTGGGTCACAAAAAATTAAATCATCTAAAACAAACTTTGAGAGGATGAAAAAACATTTACTTGGAAAGTAACAGATGTGTTATTGTTGTTATGACAACTGAATTAAAGAATGATGGTGAATGTTGTCTTCACTATAAAACCCAGAAGTTCCCTTTAAACAGTTAAAAAATTAACACGCTCCTGAAGCTTCAGAAGTGATTGCTATTTAAAAAATTGTAAAAAAAAGTTGGAGTTCATGGGTATTTAAATATTTAGTAGCTTTTGCACCAAATTTACATTTGTCATATAAACACCATTTACTGGTAATCTCTTTTCATTTGGTTGGACATGCAAAAGCAATAATGGCGACAAGATCCCAAACATAAAACAGAATTCTTAGCTCTTGTGCACACCAAGCCCAGTGCATCGCCCCACATGTGTAACTACAATCCTTGCTCCATGAATCTGTTGCCAAGTTTTCTGGTCCTTTCTGCACAAGATGCAGAAACCTGAACCTCCATGGAGTTCACCCTTGAAGCCCTTCCATACATTTAATAAATGTGTCACGCCGTAGCCAGCACTCAAAACTAACACTTTTTTTCTCAAAATGGCAACAAATTCCACTTGTCATGGCATATGTTCCAATTACTTTTTTGAGTTGCTTGGAGTGGCAGTTTTCACATTTCCTTGCTAGATTACTGACCAGCCTGGGTGCCTTCCTATATAGATAACTGGGTCATCCTACTCCCCCTGTAGGATGGCACACTGGCTAAGATTTCTCTCCAAAACCAACAACAGCAACAAAAAAGAAACAATTCTCTGTTTTCTATTGCAACTGAAATTTCGCACACATCAGAATGTTTCATCATTTTGACATCATCAACAGGCAAATCTCATTCTGTTATGTGAAGATTTTGGTCTAAAACAAGTTTCTAGAGAGTGTTTCCTTTGTGAAACATCAGAAAAGATATTGAGCTGAAAAGACTTCTGTTTACAAATGTGTTCAACTTTATAATATGAAACATAATTATACACTATGGTAAAAAAAACTTTAGTCCCAACACTATTACATGTGAAGTTCTTGCCAAAGTGTTAGTCTAGAGTGCTGGGGCCTGCCAACTCTGTAACAAGAAACATTGTGGCATTTCTAAAATAGAGCCTGTCTAATTCAGTTTTGGACATTAGAAGTCTATAACAATAACATTGCATAGGACAGTCTCTCTACATTTAAGAATTGATTGCTTTGTAGCTTGTACAGACACATATGTTTAACAACAACTACAATTTTTGTAACACAGACATCTGACAATGCACTACATGGAAATGTGTCCAGTTTCAAGCAGAGCCCTGATTGGCTGGTGCCAAGCTCATGAACCAACCAGAAATAGTTCAGAGCTGCTCACATTCAATGAGATATCTAACATACACTGCATGAGACCAATCAGAGCCACTCTCTTGTTTAGACACCTGTCAATACGTCCAAAACCACATTGAGTAATGCTATTGGTGATTTGTCTTTGCTGCAGCCAATCACATTGAGTCTTGTAACTGCGTCAACCAATGAGAGTCGCCCTTACATATCCTCGTCATCAGTGTCGTCCTCTCTGAGAGAGTCAGCAGCGTTGAGTTGGTGGGCGTTTTCTGACATTGCGTGGAAGGACTCCTCCATAAGGAGCCGCTTCTTCACGGTTTGAAATGAATCGCAGTTGATTGTGTTTGGCATGACTCCCTGCAGCTCAAAGTCACGGAACATTTTCTGAAAGTAGACAAAAAGAATTTTTAAGCCTTCAGATTCTCCGATTCAATTTGTGGGTTCTCAGATGTACAGAAATAATGCTGTCCTTGAAAACCAACATGGAAACTGCGCACCTGATAAGTCCTATCTATGGCTTATCTATGATGTTTGCATTACGTTAACCTGCATGGGCTCCCTTGGAAATCAGCCCTGTTTGGCTGGAGGGACTACCCTTATGTGTCCAAAACACTGAAACAGACAAGATACACTGGACATTCCCCTCAGTGAAATTCTGAATGTATAGGGTCTCCTACTAACAGAGAGACAGACAGGATATTTACCTTGGACATCCTCATGAGAGTGATGAGCTGATAGATGTGCAGCTGGATGTCCTGCCGCTCCTTCAGCCAATCAGCAATGATGTTCATCGCTGCTACATACCATTGCTGTGAAACAGGAATCAGCATGTTAAACACAGCTTAAAACAAACAATAGACTTCACCCCCTTAGACATATGGCTTTGCAAGCTGCTTCCAATATAATGCAACAGACAACCACCAGGGGTATACAATGTAGTAGCACAGAGGATTTGTAGCAACACTGCATTCGTATGTATTGGAATTGCAAAATTTGTGTAAAACTATGTATGTGTGTTTGTATGTATTAAATACATACATACAAACACACACACACACATGGAGATCCTACATGTAACAAAACAAACAAACACTCCCACAGGCACACACAGTTAATGATTTTGATGATGTAGATGCTACTGAAAGACTCACCTCAAAAGCTTTGAGCGTCCAGAGTTCATCGTTAACCTTGTCTCTCAGGATATCCTGGTTGATGCGCACAAAGTACATGTAGGAGTCTGCCAGCTCTAACCCTGGGGTCTGGGGGAGGGGGTAGGTAACAAAAAGTTTGATTATTGCAAACTCATTCATGAGGCCCTATAGCAAATACATGTGTACATGATATTTGACAAGAAAATGATACGGTGGTAAATACAGAAATATCATAAATTGTGTAAATATATACATGTAGTGAGCTCAATCAATGATTTATGCATAATTAGATAAGTAAAAGATGAAGGAATCGTTCTTGCAAAATGACCAATGCAATGGTGACCAATTAATTTAAAAACCAGAGAACAACATGGTAAGGCTGAAAATGTTAGTAACTTGACAGTGTACCAGTTAGTACCAGTAGACAGCATGCCTTCATTACACCAGAGAGTGATGAACTTTACTACTTAGGAGTTAAAAAGACACCTGTTCCTGTCCAGATGAGGAATTAGTAGGGTTAGTGGAAAACATGGTCACTTTGACTTTGGAACGTTATGTGTGGCATATCAAAGGCATTGTATTGAATTTCTTTTACTGGAAGTGCAAAGGAATTTGTTCAATATTCAGTTGTTTGTTGATTTCAGCACCTTTCCAACTTCAAAGTGACCAGTGTTGAAAGCATGAAGTCAAGAATGCAGAGGTGAACCTTCATGTGTGCTGATACAAAATGTGGTTCCTGGCATGATGGCATGGTTGAAGACAGAACAAATACTATGACATGATGCACTCCAAAAGTAAGAACACAGGGAATTGCAATGTTCCAAAAGTCTTGAGTTGCTTTAAGATAAAATACTAGGTAAACTATCACATCAAAGAGATGGTCCAACAATGCAGCTAGAAAAGTACAGTACAAAGTGGCACAAGATTCCAAATGCATCCTTCTGAGTTAGGTCATCATCAATTTTAAATAACATAATTCCAAACATACTGTAACTTGACAGTGTACCAGTTAGTACCAGCAGACAGCATGCCTTCATTACACCAGAGAGTGATGAACTTTACTACTTAGGAGTTAAAAAGACACCTGTTCCTGTCCAGATAAGGAATTAGTAGGGTTAGTGGAAAACATGGTCACTTTGACCAAAAGTAAGAACACAGGGAATTGCAATGTTCCAAAAGTCTTGAGTTGCTTTAAGATAAAATACTAGGTAAACTATCACATCAAAGAGATGGTCCAACAATGCAGCTAGAAAAGTACAGTACAAAGTGGCACAAGATTCCAAATGCATCCTTCTGAGTTAGGTCATCATCAATTTTAAATAACATAATTCCAAACATACTGTATTCCAACCCCTAAAAAGCAACCTTCACAAACTTAGTTTACCCAAAGTTGATTTTGATTTTTGGTTTAGGACTTAACAATGGGAGGAGACTGATGCCTAAAGTCCATACATGTATCTGTGGTGAATTACATCTTTTGAACAACAGAACAAACAATAAGACAGCAGGCTCCCCACCTCCTTGCCGGTGATATTCTGCGCCTTCTGCCGGAGCGATGCTCCAAAGTTCATGAAGGATGAGAAGAGCGTGCCCTCGTCATACCTGGCTAGTTTGGCTAGGACACTCTCCACCACTGTCACCATCTGCAGGGGCAAATTGCAAGGTGAAAATTTAACCCTCAAAGTGTCAGGGAATATTAGAACTAAGCTTTAAAACTGTGAGGGTGAAAAGACATGTACCCGACCCAAAGTACACTTTCCACCACTGTCACGATCATGAGTAGCTGAGATTTAAAGTCAAGACCATGACCTCGGCCACTTCCTGTCATTGTCATCTGAAAGACCTCACCCACTGGCTCTTGGGTACACTCTCACACTACCTTGTTCACTAAACCACTCACTTGTCCATGTAACTATTCATTCCCCTGCTAACATGTACCTTTGCCACCAGGGTGCTAATCATCTCGTTATAGACCTTCTCCAGGAAGTCATCGATCTTGGTGTGGTAGTTGTGCCGCTGTCCATCCGGGCTCTTGTAGAAGCACAGCTGGGTGGACTGGACAGTAAAGGTGGAAAAAAACATCAGCAAGCTATGCTATTCATTGCTTTATTTACTGCAACATTGCTACATGATGTAAATTAAATGTTCCTGTACCCCAGAAAGACCATCTGCCTGTTATCAGTAACAAAGTAACAAAACGTTTATAACTCACACTAGTTTTGTATATTAATTAAGAACATGGTTCTTTATTCAACAAGTGGGTTAAATGATTCAACATTTTGATGACCACCTGTTGCCTTCATCAGGGCAATAATGTTTAACACTTGTCCAGTTTTGGTTCAGGTTGTATTGGATCTGAACTTCAACCTTCTACAACTTGGTAAGTTATTCAACTTTCCTCTCCTAAGAGTAACAAAAACAGTAATTGATCTTCACTTAGATACATTGATGTTGACTGGGTCCAAATTGCAAAGAAGTTTTTAAAAAACATTAGAACAATAACATTAGAATGCAATTGTAAATAAGTACCTTTTTCTTAGCGTCAAACACTACGTTAATCATGGTGCAGGCCTCTACGGCCATCCTGAAGTCTGGGCTGTCTCGTCCTCGCTTCAGCCTGTTCTCAAAAGACTTCTGAGTCCTGGAGGAAGGGGCAACAATGTCAAGGCCTAATATGTTTTAAAGGCTGATTTAGTTATTTTGGTCAATTTGTACAAATTTAAATTGATTCAGAAACAAACAGGTCTGACCATCAAGCAAGGCTAGCTGACCTTTGAATGGCCGATTCGATCATATCGCATGCCATCAGCTTCAGTCTCTGCTCCAAGTGGTTCCCGAACTCCTCCTCGGGCCAGTGGAGATCCTTAATGAAGTTCTGCAGAGCCTCAAGCTTCCACAGAACGTCTTCACTGGTCTCACAACCATTACTGCAACAAGAACAGGCAAACCTCGCATCAAGGTGGAAGGACATTTGTAAAAGGGTCTCATGAAGAAAAGGATTGCGCATGAAACAGTATCTCAACAAAAGTGTTACAACTGTTAACAATTTATTATGAAAAGTGCAAACCTTTAAGAAAGTCCTGTACAGAGACTGGAGAAAGTCTTATCAAGAAAACTCTGAAACAACTTAACACATTGCCCCGTCTACAAAGTTAACCCATTATATGCTGATACAAAACATCATGCTTAACAAGAGTAGTGAAACAGCAACACACATACAGTACTGTATCGCTAAACTTGACTTACCAACTAAGACATACATGTAAATTTGAGACTTGTTCATAATTAGTGTTATTATATGAAAACATTTTATACAACAGAGATATGTCACCAGTTAGGTAATTCTTGCACCTCTCTACTTTACTCAAGGCTCATCATTCTTTGATGCTGCTTTTTTTTTATAGCTTAACACCATTTTTCTTACATTTACCTACAATTTTCTACAGTAGTGTTTACTTGAACACCAAATTCCTGCTCAAACTTATTGTGGCTATTAAAGAACGATGATTTCAATCATACAACCTGATTTTCAGAAACTTACGAGTGCACCATAGCTTGAAACTAAAGTTTCATTTTATCTAAACACACCAAAACATCGATCAAGCTTAAGAGACTAACATGTAGTGAAATGGTAAACGCAAAGCCTTTGATCTCTGTAGGGTCTACTCTGCCTCACAGTAACTTTAAGTTAGCAACATTGAATGTTGGACAGATGGGGGGACAGACACTGTAAAGTCTACATGTCAGGCTCTGTGCATAGTATACCAGGATAATATCAATGTTACAAACATTGCTTTTTTACCCAATGATCAACACGTAATAGGAGCTAGAGGCCACTTCAAAGTCAGAAACATGACTGTATACAATGCACAGACCCTGCATTACATTAGTGAGAGCAGACTCAGGTGGTGGTGTTCAACATGGTCATGTGAGAGCTGTGTGTGTCACAGTTAGCAGCCAGCCGGTGAGGGATGGACATGAACTACACAGCTGGAAATACTTCCACAGATCCTTGTCTTGGACATGAAATATGGAGTTTGGCAGTCTGCAATTGAGACTGTTGACCCATGGGGCAAAGATGACAACATATAATTCAAATCAAGTCCCAAAGCATACAAATTAACATAGAAAGTACTAAGTTTTAATTGTTTAATTTTGAAGTTACTGTCCGACTTTCTGAAGGCAAGAAATGATCCAAAAATACATGTTTCAATTACATTCAGGACCTTCAGTCAACCTTAAAATGAAGTGTAGTGTCGCATAGTTTGCTACTGACAAAATACTAGGTAGCAGGTTTGTTTAGAAATTTGATTTGGTCTTGATAATGAAATTTGGGACCAAAATCTGATAATTGATAATAGTGCTTCTGTTCTTCTTTCAAACCTGCACTCTGAAATATTGAGTCTTTCAACATAAAATATTACATTGTAAAAACTTCAAATGATTAAGAAATGTTATGATATACAAATGTATGTCAGTTAATGCATTTGGTTAATCACAAAACTATGATGACTCATGACCCAGGGCTACATTTTTGTAACTATCTAATTTATCCTCAATTTTGTAAAAGACATGTCCAAGAAATGGTTTCTGTGTAAGTCTATTTCCAGCTCTGCAGTGCTGGACTACACCACTTGGGGGCGTAGTCACGGGTCTTACCTTGCCCCAAGCATGGGGATGTCTACTGGTACCTCGGGTAATCCAAGGTTCACGCTTTGTGCAGATGGGAGAGACACAGTCAGACACACAGACACTACACTGACGGAACGTTACACTGGTCATTCAGGTCAGCTGGGACACCTGCTGAACCCCTCAAGGTCAATTGTGCAAACAGCTTGCTAAAAACCTTATATAGATTTTTCGGTTTTAAAAATTGTGAAACTTTTATTTTCTTGTTCGGACTAAAATTCTAATGAAATGCAGTTGTACACCCTTGAGTAAGAATGGCAATACCTGTTTGTATCAAAATTAACTGATGTGTCAGTCATCCCAAAAAAGCCTTTTTTGTGTTTGAAATGAGTTTAACTTGACGTGTGTTTATAAGTATAACGTTTAATCATCATAATCATCTGTTTAAGTCTACTAGTAGGTTTTCTGCTAGTAAAGACTGTAGCTGTAGTTATTGTTCAGGTGTCCCAGCTGCCCTGGTCTGTTTGTGTTCAAATGCTGTGAAAGAGAAGAGAAAGAGAAGATGTGAGAAGAAAGGTAACAATGCTGCCGGCATGACCTGCACAGCAGCACTCTAGACAGCATGGGATCACTTAGATATCACAATGTACAGCTGGGTCTTTTTATCACACAACCTTGTGTGTCTATAAATAAACTGCGGGAACTGTACACTTCAAACGGAGATGTAGAGACGGATAGTCTTGTATTTGATTGCAAAATGGAATAGTTTTCATAATGGATATATGTAATGTAATCAACTTGCTGATTTCAAGAAACTTGTAACTTCATCTGAATCAGCATTGCTTAACTGGTTTACCAGCCCTCTGGCTCTGTTTTCATGGGAAACTTCAAAATGTACTTTTGCATCAGAACAATGCTTTGTGTGATATTGTTATCAAGATACACTTCTAAATACATGGAAAACCATGCAAAAATGAAAATGCATACTTTTTTTTTAACTTTGCTGCAGTCAAGAATGTTGCCAAATTTTAAAAGGTTTGTGGGATGATAAAATGGAACTGGTGTATTACACAAAAATGTAGCACAAAAAAAAACACAGCAAAAAAATGTTTAAGCTTTCATTCCCAATATTTGGCAGGAAGAATCACATTTAGACTATCTAAAAATTTAACGAGAACTCATTTCAGCATTGGATGGGCAGATGCATGGTTAAGGTTTGAAAGTCATGACCATTGATATATTTTTCATTTATCAGAGCTTGTCTAGAGCGCTGCGCAGGAAGCTGAGAGCACACTGAGAAAACACAATGGATCCGTTGCCTTTGCAAAACAGCCAGGATGGAAGAAAAGTTCACGCTGACGTTACTCACTGAAGAGTGTATTGTACAGCCTACATGTTACATGTACAGGCACATGCGGATACTGATGGAGACTGGTCAAGGCAACTCTGGTGGATTACTGATTCAGAAGTGATACAAGTTCTGAGATACAAAATGTATGCTTTGGAGTTGCTAATAGAACATAATGCATGCAGATGTCTTAACATTTCATGTCCTAAGACTACATGCATCATATACAAGTACATTTTCCATGCTAAAAATTTCCCATTCTACAAATTTGTATTGGCTTCATTAGGGGTAGCCTTGGAGAGTATATTAAAGTTCAATAGTACATGTTATAAGAAAAGGGATAAAAATGCCTCAATTCCAACAATCTTTATCATCATCAATCAGTGACCTTTTTCAAAGTAGGAACAGACTGGGTGATAATCAGACAACAAAACTTTTCTATAATATAATATTGAGAAAAGATTGCACTGAAAGGTGTGAATCCACACAGAGTTCCTTTTGCAACAAGTGGGGCAAAGAATGAAGTGGTCGACAGAATGACAACATGGAGTTGTTTAAGTGGCCTACATTCCTACCTAGCACTAGTTGATATGGTAGTATTTTATCCAAATTAGTTGCCTACAGTAGTTAGTAAACACACAGACATGCACAAACAAAATGTCATTAACATTGGAGATCCACTCATGCAGTATCATGCCTTTTAACCTTGTATTTGCAGCATAACATGCTAGTTCCTTTTCTTAATATTAAATCATATTGTGTGTTTAACTCCATGTGTCTAATGGTATTTCCTAATGAAGATGCTCAGATGCAGCTACAGTAGCTACATGACTGTGTGAATGTACAATACCCTATGGAAAGGCTTGTGGGCAGATTTTCAGTGTATCATGGAGTTTGGGTGCTGTTACTACTGTAACAGTTAACTTGGAAGGTTAGGTTAACACAGTGTGGTAAGAGCATATTAAAGGAGCTGTATCAAAGTCAACAGCTCCAAGCAAATTTTGTACAGTGTCATATAAGTTGAGTGGATGTAACATTGGTGACACTGTAATTTTGGCATATTTAAGTTTTTTCTCCACTCCTATGAAAATTTCTGTCCACAAAACTTTCCATCAGGTCATACAGTGAGATGTATTTGACTGCCATGATTTTATAAGTTGGTAGGCAGTTCAAAACAAGACAAGGCTATTTTTGTTGTCATTTGACTTGATCTGAAGAAAGTTTTTACTTCCTAGACCAGTTAGGAGGTGAATGTTGAAGCTAGTCCATTCATAAAATTGGGGGGTGTTGTGGAAAACTACAGTAGAAAGAAAAAAATGCAAGAAAATGGAAAATGTTTTCCTACATGTTTTAGTTAATGTATCAAAAACATAAAGTTTATAGACATGCTGAAAAAAATTCACCAAAATGAAACAGAGTCCCAGTAACATCCTACTAGCCTGATATCACTCCCAACTTTATAAATGGCCTGGCCTGTTGCCAACAGTCTTACCAAACTCCACTTGTCAGAGAGGCTAGCTGCTGATAGTTGCCAATCTGAGTCCTTCTGACAGCTGTTTCATCTCAGCAATTTCTACAGCATTTCAGCCATCAAAAGGAGTGTGGTGGAAATTACGTCATTAAAACCATTTTGACATTGTCAAGAAATAAGCTCAGATCTAACAGAACAATGACAAAAAACACCAGATTTCCTGCCAGCTCACCAGCCTTCTTCGGGTTGGAATGACCATTATCACTTACATGTACATGTACATGTAGAACCAAACAGTGTCAGCAAGTGGTCAAAGTTCCTACATGTATGCATCTGGGTACAATTGATCAATTGCTAATGTCATGTCACCAATTTGGTCATCCTAACCTGAAGATGACCGTAGAGATGGCAAAGAATCTAATGAGTCACTCTTTGCTGTGTTGGATCTGGAGTTTATTTCTTGACACCAAGTTTCTTTGGCGACCATGCAAGCCCTACCCCTGCGGCAGCCACGTTTCCCGCTCGAAGCCCTTGTGGATGGACTGCGCTATCGAGGACTCCATTAGGTCGACGTAACGCACCACCATTGGGGCAAATGTCTCTCGGAGGTGGCTGTGGAATTTCCCGCCGGTCAGGTTTTCTGGGGTGCAGAGCAAGGAAAAAAGGCAGATTTACAGCAATTTTCTTTGATTTGTTAAAATCTGCTACAGTAACTGCTTTCTAAAAAGGAACTTGAACTACATGTAGACACAGAAGAAGAAAGAAAGAAGTTGTGAAAAGATGCCATTTTCAGATGTTGCCAGATTGCAAATAATGGAACCATAATATACAGCTGAGTTGCTCGATTTGTAACTATGGAAAAATGACATGATATATGTATTTTGAACCTTGACATACCAGAATATATGTAAAACATGCTAAGACACCTTACCGTCCTGTCTTAAGTAGTCATTGAGGAGTTGGAAGAGTGGGAAGCTATCCCAAGAGTCGGGGGGTTGAACTTCAAGTGCTGAATCCATGTCTACTTGGAATAATGACCAGAAGATTTCCTTGTGTTCAGCCAACAGGTCTGAGAACCAGGCAAATGCCTTCAGAAGGGAGGCAAGATAACAAGGCATTATGAAAGACAACAGGTAAGCTGGCAGTACGAGGTAAATTAAAACTGGAAGCACTAGATTTTAAGTCATGTTATTTACATGTAATAGTGAAAGAAAAATATTTCCTAAATTTACAGTTTTGAATCTTGAGTACTTAGACTGCAACAAAATGAAATATGAAGAAATGTATCAGGTATCTTTATCCACTCCTACATTTTCACCTGTAAAGTAACACATAGCTCATAGCATCTTCTACACATCTAATTTCATCATTTTGGCCTAACAAAAGCCACAGATAATGCAGGGTACTACATCTAAGTGTTTGAAACCTATTTCAATTTGCACTTGTTATGATAATCATATCTACAAGACTGTTAGCAAACCCCCACAGAATATAAACTGTAATCTCATGCAAACAAAGTACAGCCTTATTATTACAAGCAGAATTTTGATAGTTTTAAACTAAAATATACAAACTGATTCAATTTGACCTTTTCTTGCTGCATGCACAAGTGTTGCATAAACAAAAAGTAAAGTTAGAGCTAACAATCATACATAAACATCAAATTGCACTCAGTACAACATAGAAACATGGAGATTCTCCATGCTTGCAAACTTCACATATGCATGTTACATATAATGTCCATGCCTTGTTAAGAAAAATCAGGCCTGCAATATCTTGATTCAAGATGTTAATGCAAAACTGAGCAAAAACTGAGACCATAACAAAGAAACTTACTGTCTGTACCAAAAGAAATGAAACAGAAATCTAAGTTGCCAACAGAGTTCATGAACTGAAAGAAAAGAAATGAAGAACAGCCCTTGAACCTCCTAGACCTATGAAAATATACTCTACTTTCCAAAATACCTTAAAACAACGAGTAAATTACACTAATGCCAATTGTTTTTCTACATGTTTGTATAAACAGTAAGAATTCTGTGTTTCCAATAGTAAAGCTAGCCACTATCAAATTATTATCAAGTCTAACTCAACCTTGTTTCTACATGATGACAATGATCTTATGAGATTTCCAGGTAACTAAAGAATGACAGAAATAATTTCTGTTGTCCACCTGAAAACGAGAAGCACATGGAAAGCAGTAACATGGCAACACGAAATGGTCAAGCATGAGAAAGGGAGAGAGAAAGAGAGAGTGAGAGAAAGGAGGAAGAGAGAAAAAAAACATAGTTTTGGTTTTTGTATGGAAGGTTACATGGTCTAAATGACTCCCCTGTGACCCCGAGGGTCTTCTTATATAAAGATACATTTCATTTCATTGAAAATCTCCACATCTAAAATAAAACCGTAATTTGTATCCCATGTCATGTTATACATGTTTCTGCATTTTGTAAAGCTTAACACTGAGAAAGTAAATCACAAATTTTAAATTATTCCTGTAGTATCAGTTTGGAAGTGTTAAATTGGCCAATCAGCAAAAAATTTGACTACTAGTATGTTAGTTTCTTTTATGAAATTATAAACAAAGCAAGTTGAAAAAGAAATACGGTACATGTTATTAAATTATTTGGCCTTAATGCCTGCCTTAATGGAACATAAAACCCCTAAAATAGCAACATAAGTGACTTTTTGCCATCTCAAGCTTCCCACATCATTAATATTTAAAGTAGGAAATGCGTAGCCTAGCTATAGGTACCATCCAGGTTAGTTACATGCATATCTGCTCTGATAGTAGCTACTGGTTGGTGGGTTGTGTGTAGAAATGTTGTAAAAAAAAAAAACTTGTAAAAAAACATCTTTATCATAGACTATACCATTGCTGTCAGGTTGGTAAAAACAAGGAAATGAGTAACTACATCCATGAAAATGTAATAACAGGAAATTTTAAAATACATGTGGGCACACACACAAAATAGAAAAAAAAGTCCCACAAAGTAAGCAGTCAAAATTCAGCTCCCCTTTTAAATTTTGAAACGGATTTTTAGTTGAATGCTAAATGTAGTTGGTAACGTCATCAGTGGGCATGCAGAGGAGCCATTTAGATGGACAGTCTGAGAGAGTGACATACCTCTTTCCCTTCCTGGAACACAAGCGTCAGGCGGGGAGGGGGTGCAAGATACAAGTCAGTACAGCCTTGTTTTATCAAAGCATGACAGTAACAGCAGACAAAGGGTGTATACAATACATTTGTGGGGACAGTTGTACGGAGTGACAGGCCATGCCAATTTTTCTACTCTAAACTTTCAGAGAACAATCAGAGCTAAAGTGGACACAAACATTTTGTGAAAAATAATTCAGTGAATACCTTTCAAACACATGCTGAGTTTGAAATTTCCTAACGTTGGAGTAAAGTAGTAAGACACATAGATTCTGAAATGACTTCATTGTATCTGACCACAAATTACAGTGTAGTCTAATATTCAACAAAGTTTCTTGCATTTTTTTGGGTCCTTATTACTCCAAAATTGAAGAAGAAATAATTGGTATGGCTTTGCCACTGTATGTGGAACAGATCTGGCAAGCACTATTGTTGTACCATGCACATGGGGGTAACACAGGATGCAAGAGGTGGCAGGTGTTGGCAGATCTGGTAACTTTGCACCCGGAGCCTTTTGTGTCACTGAAATTCAGCAATAGACTTATGGCAAAAGGCAAGGCAGTCTGTATTTTGACTTTCTTGCTTTCCTTCCTTTTCTCTGACAAGATGCTGACATGCCTGGTAAAATGTAGTTTTGTTACTATAAGAATCACCTCATACTCATTCTGAATGTATCAAGACAGGACATATCTTATATCCTGAACTGACATGCAGCATACTTAGCCAGATAACTACAAATATAATCCTCCTAGGAAGAGTCATACATTCCAGGAGTTTTCATACTATCAAAAAGGATTTCTAAACATGCTCAAGGTGTGTTCCTTCCACACATGCACAAGCCCATCGGCTCAATGTCAGCTACAAAGGACAATGGCCCAAAGTGATTCATTCCTTGCTGACCGCACAAGGAATGCAATCAGAACATAGGGCCTAGTTGCATTTGTTGTACAATCATCATATGATTGTAAACTGAGGGCATTCTCTGGATAGTTGGCTCTGTCCCAGCTTGCTTGAAAACTCTACAACATCAAAATCGTATGACGACCTCCAACAAATGTGAGCGCACCACAAAAGAAGGATAACCAGTGAAATGTTGGAAAAGTAAGACTACCTCTGCATAATGCTCGTCATTCTGCTGTAACACGTCAATACAAAGCTCTGCCAGACGGATGACATCATCCAAACGCTTCTTGGTGGGAACCTCCTCTCCCTGCATGTCTGTTGTGGAGACAGAACTTTGACTATCCTGGTCCCCTGCCGGTTTGGTGGCGGGGACTGCACAGGAGTACAGAATCAATCAATCAATCAATCAATCAATCAATCAATCAGTCAATCAATCAATCAATCAATCAATCAATCAATTAGCCAGTCTGTCAAACAATGACCAATAACCAATAACTACAATCTCTTGTAGAGATAAAATACTATCACCTTAGTGTTTTAGAAGCTACACAGGTGTACAAAATCAATCAATAAGTCAATCAATCAATAATGAATAAGCATTAACTAAAATCTGTTGTGGACCAAAGAACTTTAAGTATACTCGTCCTCTGCCAGTTTAAAAGTGATTAAAACATGGGTGGACATAATCAATCAATCAATCAATCAATAATCTATTAAACATTGAAATTTTGCTGCCTGAAGTAACAGTGGCCACCTTTAGACAGTAGACAGTGGGCATCTTTGATAGGAAGGCCACAATAATAACAAGTACACTTTCAGCACCAGGGACAGGTAGACCAGAAGACAGAATTGTTCAAAGGGCGTTTCACAAAATGTGATCCCTTTTCAGCACAGAAAATAAAATTGCCCTACAGTCTATCTTACCATGGTCTACTGAGTGAGAAAATAATTTTTGGTGGGCCTTACCAACTTCACCTTTCAACATAGACAAACATTGCATGCTGCACACACCTACTTTAAGACATTTGTGTTGAAGACACTCAAGTTTACAGCATAGGAACATGGCTTAACAGCCTTAAGACACTGTTACAGACAGAACAGAGCATGAAACAACATTCACCTCCTCCTTTTCCAGATTGAGCTGAGAGCAGACAGAGAAGAGCAGCAGAAAAGAGATTGTGGTTAGAGGCCAGTCAAGGACAACATGTACATGTGTGATAACATGGACAGTACATACAGTCATACATTCTATGTATTGTGCTAGACATACAAAAACTAGTATGTTTATAACATTCTCCATGTTTAAGTTTCATATCTGACTTTTTGAGAAATGCGAATATTATTATGAAAAAAATGTTTCAGATTTTTTAAATATCATGACTGTGTATGTTAACTTTCATTGAATATTGATTATGAATTTTCTCTTGCTGGAGGAACTGCACAATATATCTAGGCTAATACATAGGTTGTACATAAGGGGATATATTAGGGGAAAAATAGATACACACACACATTAGGGATGATAAATTACATTATATGACAGTATGTATCATATACATGCACATGCATAAGAGACAACAGGGATATTGACAGGGATTCACACAAACAAACACCTGGGATGAAATGTAGAAAATCACAAGCCACTGCATTAGATATTAAACACTGTCAAAGATTAAAGTTTTTGCCCAAATCGGGTCAGAATGCTTGAATTTCAAATGTGGCAAATCATAGTTTCTCTTAAACATATTGGGCTGATCCAACACCAGCAATGATGTCCCAGTGCCCATTCTTCAAAGACCTGAGGTTTCAGATGTCTTTTTCAAACATGGCTTGACCTTATTCTCCACCAAACATCCATGCATCATGTTCCCTCTCCAAGCCCATTTTCCTGGAACCACTATTCTGTTTAAAGCCTTTCCTGGAACATTTCAAGGCCAACACTCAAACTCTGACACCGCAAGGATCCGGGCACTTATCAGACAGCTGCAGCACATCTGACTTGAAGGAACTGCTTTTCTGGTACAGTTTTTGGTAAGACATTAACATTTCGAGACTGCTCAAGGGCTTGGAAAGTGCAAAGCAATCTTAGAATCTGAACCGTGCAGTTTGTAATGGATGGGAAACCATTGTAAGCCTGGATATTCTATAACAACGAGTAACATGAAACCATGAAATCAACAGAACAGATAAAACTGAGTAAGGGAAAAAGAAATGGAAAATAGCACTCACAAAAACATAAGGTAACTTTTCCATTGCAAGAGAGGACAACCTCAGACAAAACTAATTGTGTGTTTATTTTACTGCAATTGATGATACAGAGATTATTGTACACAAAGCTATGGAAAATGGAAAGGTGTATGATAGAAATCATTGCTGCTATACTACTAGTCTGTAGGAACTACAGCACATACTAGGCATTCACCTCATGTAAACTGCAGAATATCTGGGCATGTAGTAAATGCAAAATTGCACTGCACAGAAGAGGGACATTCTATTTACGGACCACCAATACATGCAATGGGTTACTGCTATAACAGTGGATGTAAGGCTTAACATAGGGTCTATCAGCAAAATATAGGAGGGGGGACATATGGTTAGCCTAGGTCAATGCAGGGGCAAAATATGCTCTGCCATGGTCAAACTAATGGTGTAGGGGACACCATGATGCCAGGGGGGTGAGTCAAGGTGAAAACAATGAAGGGACATTATAGGGCAGAGATAGTGGAAGCCACGACACATTAGAGGAAGCGTGCATGTTAGGAACCTTCGATGCGAGCGTATTCGGAGATGCGGGTGTAGTTGATGAGGGCGGCCTTCTCCATACAGGACTTGATGACGGCACGAACTTCATCCGGTGGGACTGGCGTGGCTATGTCCTTCATCATCACCTGGGGGGGGGAGAAGTTCTCAGTCACTGGGAAAAGTAGTGGATACTGTCTGAAACGTCTGACTCTTTAGAGAATTTATCTGCTTTTGTTTTTTTGTATTGTTAAGTAAGGGTATCTTAAATAATTTTTGGTCAACAGAACACAAGACATCACAAGAAGAAACAAAGAATCCCTTACCCTCTCCAGCAGAGACAATGTGGCTTTCAATGCACCTTCTGGTCTTCCAAAAGGGAAACAGTACCTGGGGAGGGAGGCACAAACAACTGTTGGTCTGTTTTTGCTTGTATGTATGTGTGACATATTGGACACATTACATGTAGAATAGGGAGGCAACCTGGAAAAACCTTCTTTTCTTCAAAGAAAGAAGTTGTCTTACCTGAAGTTTGAGATTTGATTTTCCAAGAAGCACCTCAGCCTTTCCTTGATATCTTCAAAAATGTCCCTCTCTTCATAAGTCACTGTGCCGATACCATCTGGTCTGCAAGTCAGAAACATAACATGAAGTTTGCATGTGATGAAACCTGTATACAGCTTTTAAGCTAACAAGAAAGGCTGAACACTCTAAGATAGGCAAGGTATTATAATAAGGTATGATAACTGGTTTTGTCACTCAATCAAGAAATCTACTCCAGTTATGAATTGTGATGAAGAGGGATATAAAATCAGCCATGTTAGAGAACATTTTCTTCAAACTGCAGCAGTGACACCTACATTCAGCTGCAGAGCTACATGTTGTAAGAAGAGCCAGTCAGTATTGTGCTGAGGAAGGTGGCAGACTGTCAACAAAATGCCAGCTAGATATAAACACTTGGAAATCTCACATATCATGTTAGGGCTCCCCATGGAGACAATTGTTTTGAACAAGTAATTAGTTATTAACCAATTTGTCAAGCAGTGATAGGAAGATTAGCTATCTTGCCAATAGGTGTTGCAATTAATGAACAAACAGACAGCAGGCACACGCTTGTCAAAACTGTTATTGAAGAATGCTAAGTGGTAACTATGTAGGAATCAACTGTAGCTGGGATAGAGGCCAGGAGTGTGAGTGATGAGGCAAGCTTCTGCCTTCAACTCTGCTAACTGACAAGTTAAAGGCCAGACCAATTCAAACTGCTGGTTCCTAGAGATTTTGATGTAAAACTGCAAACCAAACTTCGATATCGTTTGTCGTTGTCGAGATATTGCTATTTAAAGTTAACCCTAGCCTTTGCAAGAGGACATAAAAAAAACTTGAATCTAACTGTAATCTACCCATAAAACATTGTGTACAAACTTTCCCCTCACACTCTGCTTTAATGCATTTTTTAAAAAATCCAAGAACCAACAAATGGAATCAGTGTCACCCACATAAAGAGACCAGCAAAGTGAGCAATGAGGTAGTCTTCAGGCTTTATCTCAGGCTGCCTGACAAATAAGCCGGTGTAAGAAAAAGCAATCTGGTGTTGCGGTGAAAGATGGTGTGTCAGTTGTAAGCACGAAGTGCCTCCGTCACTGGAGAGCTGTGAGTGATGGACAGTTTAGCAGGTGGAAATGGCCATTTGGTTGGAGTCGAGAAGTATTACCTTCTTCCCACAAACAGGAAGTCCTTTAAGCTCAGAAGCTGCACTCTAGCTCCTTGTGTCTACCACATTTCAGTTAGTTATTAATATGACATTTTATTGGCAGCTAAATAATTGGCTATTTTTATCATATGTTACAAAATGTAAGTCCACAGTATATTTTGGGTTATGTCCCTGCTCTGAATTTGATTCACACTTTTTGTTATTCTACATCTATATTTCAGTATCTAATATCTATATTTCAGTAATTTTTCAGCAATATTTGTTTATTTTGCTGGACTCCAGGAAAAATAATCAAACCAAACTGCTACCTTCATACTGCTAGCAATCTTTCTGGAAGTGTTAGGATTTAGTTACAAAATGTATGGTCATTGAGCAGAGAGTGATGGGCCAGTTTAGGGAAAGTTGGGGCATGAAGTGGAAATGGCTATTTGGGATTGCCATGTGCGATGATGTTCTAAGCACACACATTACACAGATGACAGTGCTAGCAATCTTTCTGAAAATGTTAGGAATCTGTTACAAAATTTATGGAAATTGAGCAGCAAATGATGGGCTGGTTTATATGGTACAAAAAGGCTGCTTGGTTTGAGTTGAGACAGACTAAAGTGTACCATCATGGCTTCAAAGCCTGGACATCGCAAAATAGTCATCTCTAGAAAATTTGGCAAAATTACTGTTTATCAACAGATTTGGTCGTCAGTATCATAACATGTACTGACCTATGTGATGCATTGTTAGATTTCCAACAAATACACACACATATATTTCTTACATACAAGGCATCTATACAAAGATGTTACCTGCTGCCCTCAACTTTTCATGGACAGACGCTTCTGTATAGGATAACCCATATCTCAAGTCACATGTGAAAAAAGACTCAGGGTTGCTGAGCATGTATGGGCAGTAAAGAAGAGATCTAGTGATGTTCTTCTATCGGTGTGAAAGCACAGTTAAGCAGTTAAGTGAAGGTGACCCTGTACTTGTTACATACTTATTCATCCTCACACCGTGATGGGAGGAGGACTGCTGTGAGCCAGATGACCTACCTAGAACTATGAAGTTTTGAGGGACATGGAAGGAAAGAGTTGAAAACACCAGTCCTAGTAAGCAACATGTACCTGTTCCCATGCACGTGAGATGCGCAGAAGGCGAAACTGTAGTGCATGAGGGTGGGGTCAATCATGGTTCCATTCTCTGCCCTCCCCAGAAGATCATTCAGGTAGCAGAGGTGTCGGTGGCAGCCTCGCACCCCGTATCGGGCACAGTACTCATCTAGTACGAAAACCTGTCCTGGGCTGAACCAACCCTAAACAAAGTTAACAAAGGTACAGATGTTTATTGTTCTCCATTTTGAAATAAAAGAAAAAAACACATGAAACAGCTCTTTAAAGTATAGCCTTGTTGCTCAATACATTGTATTTTCAAAAATCTTTTATGTGTATACACATCTCTGAATAGTGTCCTAGTGACATTTCAAACTCTAATAACTGTTAACGTGAAAAAATGCAAACAAACAGATCATACCAGACATGAGTAGGAGTCGTTCAATCTGTGATCCAGTGTCAGCCTCTGCACCATCTCGAACAGGTCCTGGTGGTCGAACTTGCAGGGGTCTGCCTGGATGAACTCGTCCATCCCGTGTTTCCGCGCTCGGTCCGCGTCTGACAGTAAGGGTCGGTCAACAGATGGGGGAGGGGACGTGTGTACAATGGTCAGCAAATGCTCATTTAAGGCCACACCAATCTGATTTGTTGGTTCTTGGATTTTGAGAATGCGGAACTTGAAGATTTTTAATTGGTCAGTAAAACGATATGAAAACAGCATCTGAACCCTGATACATACAGTTTCAGGAAGTCAAAAATTAAGGTTTCCTTCTACTCCTCATTCTAAATTTTTCAATTCAAAATGTCTATGAACCAAGGAAATAGATTGGTATGGACTAATGTCAGCTTATCCCCAATGTCAATTGTCAATGTCAAACAGAACTGTTCTTTATTATCAACTGGTGATCTTTCTTTTCAAGCCTATGACACTGGAAGCTTAATCTTTGGTGTTAGTACAGAACTACACTACTGTAAAAAGTACTCAGGATGTGATCAAAAGTCATACAATAATCAATATTTAGTCAATATAACAGTACTTCACCAAGCAATCTACAAAATGTACATTGTGTGCTACATCTAAAAGAGTATGGCCCAACACATGCTGTGTTGAAATCTTACTCAATGCATTGCAAAAACTCATTATCTGAACTGTTTGCACTGATATTTCTGCAAGTTGTTAAATGATAGGCCACACCATCTTACCTACATGGGATTGGCATTCATGCGTGAGGACATTTTTCTGGTAATTGAATTTGTGTGGACTCTAGTTGATCTAAGTACACTATGGTTAAGTTCATCTAATATATAGTATGTACATTGAGAAACTGAAGCGTGCAGTGAGAAAAAGACCACTACTGATGCCAACATGCTCAAAAACTGTGGAAGGTATGTCTGCACAGTATGGAAATCCTTACCTTTATCACATTTTTATGTCTTTGATGTTTCCTCCCATAGATATAGCATTGATTTCCTGTATTTTGGTTTTCTCTAATTTTTTTTCTGCAAGCACCTCTATGGACAGGTAGTGTTCCTTGAGATGCCTCCACAGATGTTCATTTCATGTAAAGTTTTTAAAATATTACGCCAAATCTGTTCTTTTGCAGAATCCAATGGTAAAACAAATGTGCGTAATTTTCCATGCCATGGGACTTCTTGACAGTAAATCCACCTCAACTGTGCAGACAGGTATCCACCACACGTGCAAGACAGACAATACAAGACATACTCACAGAACCTGCAACACTGAAAAGTTGTCATAGCCAGGGGCAAAGATTTCAACGCTAAAAGTCTTCTACTGTGGTCCTAAATAAATGCTATCATTAATACTAATTAGAAAGCACCACTCCATTTATTACAGTCTGTACATGTGACGTTGTAGAAAACTCTTTTGTGACAATATTTTCCCGCCCTGTAATGAGAAAGGCTTTCAGTTTGAAAACTTTGCCAGATGGACGAGAAATAGATTACCTTGCACATTCGCAGAGGGAAACATAAAGGGAACAGCAAATGTCTGTGTTAGCATTAAACTTTACAGTGAATGCATTCAGTAGTACTCAGGATCATGCATGTAGGTTTTGCAAGTTCCGTGCAATGCAAGCAATGCTACGCATACTCAATTGCATCGTGCACAAAGAGCTAACTGATTACAAAATCTTTTTCCAGTCTATGTTCAACTTGGTAGTGTGCTAGCATTCAGCTAGTACTAGAGTTAATTTCTAGGGATGCCAAACCAGCTAGGAAGAAGGGCTATCAAATGTCATGCTCTAGTGGCTTATGTGTGCGAGTGCTTCTCTCAAAGCAAACACTCCATGCAGAGGGCACAGGAAAATTCAGTTATGATGGAGTTTGGAGAAAGTCATGCCTTTAACCCTCTTATGAAGACATGTTCAACAGGGCTCTCAAACATCCAGCTTTACACTGCAGCAGTCGGTAACAAGATCCAGATCTTAAACAAATCAACACAATGATATCAGATGATCAAATGAGTATATGTGATTGTGATCATAAAGAAGAGTCATCAATGACACTGATGAATAGTATCTGATTCAAATTCTGTATTCTCTAATATATAAATTCTGTATTCTATAATAAATTATATTGTGACCCTTGGTGTGAAACAGTGCACAGCTGGTTTCTAAGCCCAATGGAGCACCTCCTCTAAAGAGGGTACATGCTGTCTACGGTAGAGACTAGGGATCATGGTGTGACTTCCCCTCTGCAAACCTGCAAGGTTGGTTGGAAGCAGAAAAACACGGCCAAACACGTGGGACATCCAGCTGGACGTACACATAGAGGTAAAAATGGAGGCTGCTTACAGAAGAGTGAAATGTGCCCGTCCAACCCACCTCCCTGAATACGGGAGAGCTGGCCATTGGACAGCTTTTGGACCTGGGTGGGAGGGACCGGCTTGTGGGACTGGCCAGTGGCACGGTACATGGCCTGAACCCACATCATCCGGTCTGACTCCTCCTCACTGGCAAACAGCACGCTGTCACCCTCCCGCACCGCGTTGAAGAAGTGCCTGCCCCCTTCCAGGTCTGTGGGAACAAAGTTAAGATAAAACAGTATTTCTTTAATGAGATAAAGCATGGAGCTTTTATCAGTAACTAGTAGCCTTTGCTGCAGTGTGCATTTTCACCACTACTCTTATCAGTAAGTGTGCTGGGTTCTCAGATGAACAGAGGTTTAAAACCCAATGTTCCTACTTACACAGGACTAAAGCCTTTAAGTTCCTCCCAAAGGAAGAATGATGGGCATGGAAATTATGCAGCAACTGCCTACATTTCAGCACCAGGGACAGAGCAATTTTGTTAACTGTACAAAAGACCAGCTGCACCAGTTAAGTGTTAGATAATTTCAGTACCACAGCCACAAACAATATTTATTGAGTTGAACAGAAAGTTTGACTTTGGTTGAATAACTGATCATTCAGCACCAAGGACATGTAAAGTCCTGAATCGAACACTGGAGTCTATGTGAATTGAATAGCAGTCCACACACCATGCACAGGTTCTGTATAGTCTACTGTGTATCCGTCCAACTGCATCATCTCGCTGGGGTCCGCCCTCTTCTCGCGATAGCTGCACATTGCAAAGGTGTACTGGCTCACCTGGTCGGGTGTGGGAAAATATATATATACATCAATCCAGTTAGGCAGGAATAGTTGGGTGCTACAATAGACCTACAACGTCATCAAACTTCTTCAAGAACAACATCAACTCCAAGTTTTCAGCACCAAGGACAGGAATCCACACTACTTAGTATCACATTTTCAATACTAGGAGCACATTGCAAAGGTGGACAACAACAAAACAAACAACATATTAACACTTTTAAAACACTTGTTTCATTGAATTGACTGGCAAATGACTCCAATTTCATACTTTTAGCTTGCAGAGTCTATTCTGAATTGCTGTACCTTAACACCATCAGTTTCCACAGATTGTAAACTTTGGCAGGAAATTTCCCTTATCCCAGAGCAGAGGGATGCCCCTGTCACAGTACACCCTTTTATCTTCCTACCCAATGGCTTCCTGCCAAGTTTACCTGCCCAGTTAGAGCTTGTTTATCCCAAGTTAAATCCTTTAATCTCCGTAGAGATGCAGGGTGAGGGGTTGGGGATTAGCTGTCTCCCTGCGCAGGACAGGGAGATTATGGAGGGATTATAGACACACCACGTCTTCTGTCAGGACCACATCTGAGTACCACTTGGAGACTTTCCACCCAGATGACTACATGGTCTTTGGTCCATGAGCAAAACCTAATGAGAATAATTCTGGGTCGTTAAGATGAGTTTTGTGGCAAAAGAAAAGCATTTAATACTCCTTTGGGGCCAATAACATGTTTGAGTGCCACTTTGAGGTGATACGAAAGTCAGGGTCTATAAAACTCTTGATACAAATCTGGACCCCTTGGATTGTTTTCGAGATGCAAGAAATGTATGGAATACTCCTTTTGGGGCCTACAACATGTTTGAGTATTGCTGTGAGATCAGGCGAGAACAAAATGAGGGTTCATGAAGGAAATCTGAAGACCATTCTGGGAGTAAAAGATGATTATGAAGAGGTACTTCAGACTTCAGACTACATACTCTTTGTATTTTGGCCAGGTAATTACGGCCCATAAAACAAATTTGAATACAAGTCTGGGACTCTTAAATGGCTTTGAAGATGTATGAAAAGCACTAATTACTCCTTTGAGGCTTTGAGCAAAATAATGGGGGCATGTACAGAAACATTCATCATGGTATGGGCCATTGATCATAACGTGATCCAGCATTAATAAAGTATTGCACTGAATGTTTCAGTATCACATAGAGACTTCCTTTTGGGATAGTTACAAACTTAGGACATATGAGAGAAATTTGAGGACAATTCTGGGACTCTTAGATGATTTGAGAGACATAAGAAAAACACTACAAATTTTGATTTACTCCTTTGGGGACTTTAACATGCCCGAGTACTGCCTTGAGTTCTGAGCACCTTGCCAACAAATTCTAAGACAATTCTGGGACATATGAAAAGAACCACATGTAATTTGTGATTGTAAATGCTACTAAATGTTTCATTCTTGCAAAACAATGGGGTGTGCTTGAACCTTTATTGTGGCATGGGCCATTGATCAAGTGGTGATTTGGGATACATAAAGCATGTTACATACCTGGTGATTTAAGTATGTTACGGTACATTACACAAACAGAACACAGTGTCAGGCCTATTTATTTGAGGAGTACACACTTTGGGGATTCTGTTCAGGTAGACAAGTTATGGTGCGTAAGTTTTAAGACTGGACAGGGTTTTAGTGTAGACTGAACTGTTATCTATGTATATTTCAGGATAAAGATTAATTGTGATCTACCGATTCAGCTGGTAAAGATCCTGATCTGTAAATTTTTCTTTGCATGTGGACAGTCAGACCTTAAGTTTCCTTTAGATCAATGGATTGACTTAGGATTTATAAATGGGAGACCCTAAAACCTTCCCAGCATTCTGATCACGATCTATGTCCACAGAAACTTTGATCTGCAGAACAGGCAGCATTCATCATGTCTACCGACATATTTGTACATCTACATGTAAATGTTTTACATTGGTGTATTTATGCGATGCAAATGTTGCTTTGTATTGCATTGTAGTGTTCTTTTTTTCCTGACCTCTGGACGGATAGCTTGCTAAAGAAGAGTTAAAAGCGGATATGAATAAACTCATCCTTAATCATTACCTGCACAAGTACAAAGTATCTCTTCTTCCATTTCTTCCACACTGTCTTGCCTAATGCATAGAGGTACCTGCAAGAAACAGGTTTACAAGTGAGATAATTGAATAGACTTTAAGACACAGATCACGACAATATTACCACGAATCGAAAGACAGTTAGGAAAATGTAATTTACAAACAAAACAGCCGTGGCAGAACAACTCGGAAGCATGAGATCCGAATACCCCCTTCTCACTGTTGGGTAAATCATTTTTGACCATATGGTTAATAAAGATAAGAGTAAATACAATATTCATTGCAGTTATCTACTGTCCATCTTGGCATCCGTCTGAAACTGTTGCTTTGCAGGAATCAGAATACATGAACTGGTGCAAATAACATTCAGAATTACCAGCACTAAACAGACCATCAAAAGTACTGTTTCAGTTGAAGTAATAGTAATAACATAATGATTTTGAATCTCTTTACCAACTCTACTGAATTGCTGAACTGCTATTGGCTGTATGTGGTGTTGTGAGCTGGTTTTAGGAGGGACCAGCGTGAGCTACATGTAGGTTGTTAGAGTAAATAACTGCACAGCTCCAAATTCACCTGCACTAACCTGCATATGACACCTGGGAGGATAAATACAGGCAAATCTCTAAATTCTCAAGTGCAAACCTGCATTTCCAGTCCTACTCAGGGAACTCACCAAACAAGAGACAAGCAGGCATCTGAACTTACCCACAATGCTTCATGTTCTGTGGCTTGTCCATTCTGACGGCCATTTTGACTTTGATTTCGTTTGGAATGCCCTTGGCAGGACTCATAGTGTGCCATTCTGGGTGCTTTGGGCTGGTTGCTGTCGGTTTGCATACAACCTGGACATATGAAATGAGATAAAATAGTAAGACAAAATATATCCCTTAGTCTTAATTATTCAACTGCTGGGGCAACATAGAAGTTTTCTCCTCGCTTCTCAGTTTTCTGTTCCTCTTATTGTTTCACTTAATATCATGTGTCATTTCATTTCTGCGGTCTGTATTCTTTTCTCTGGTTTTCCAGTTAGAGTCCAGGATTTGCAGGCATACAGGAATACAGATGTGACAAAGGAGAGCTAAAACACTCCAGGAAAAGTCATCATGTCTATTTTAAGGGTCAATGTAATGCTTATTTCAATGAAAAGAACAATTCTGAAGAACATTCTTACCCTCCCCAGTTCTTTGTCCTCTAAACTAAGCATCCCCGTGCTCTCTGTGTACAGTTTGACCTTGACTACAGGTAGTGGATGTGTGGTGGTGAAGTCACCTTGAGTGTCCCACCTGTGGAGAAAAAGAACATTTTCTCTCATTTCAAACAGCTACCACTCTGTCAAACAAGATACAAACTAAGAAGCATATGCAGGGTGATTTGCCTATGTTGTTCCTTACGTCTCTTCAAGCTCTTATAATTCCTTACTTATGATTTATTTAATTATTTGCTTAGCTGTTCAGCACGCACAGCCAGGTCAGTCCAACTAGCCTGTGGCTGTTGCAAAGGGCTAGGCCTGCTGACAAATTATAGCAATGGACAAATGCTGACACGTACATGGGTTTGGATGCTTCTGCCTGGTCAGTCTGTAATTTTTCCCCACCATCTACCTCCATGGTGCAATAAACTATTTTGTTGGGGGCCAAAAACTTCAGCCCTCGAACCTCCATCACTACCACCTGTGGGAATACAACATCAAAGAGGGAAGAAAGTAACAAGATTGCTGAAGTTTTGATGAGAACCAAAGCATCAAATTTTATATAACTCACTTCAGTGTGAATGATATAACATAAGCTAACTTTAGTATGAATAATAGTAACAAGTCTTATAATTTAGACTTTTCGATTTACACACCTCTTGTGTAAATGACACAACCACATCTGCTTTAGAGAACCTACCTCTAGTGTGAATGACAAGACTACATCTGATTTGGAGAGTGCTGATTCTGTGTCATCTGCAACTTCCAACATGGAGATTGCAGAGTTCTGCGCCCTGCAGTGATTTAAAACAAGATCTGATATTTCTGACATATGCACAAAAAAACACATGTAAATGCATGAGATTTGTCATCAATACAGAAAAAAGCTATGCTGTGTAAAATTATCATTTACATTTTTAACTTGCACATGATCAAATTTGTAAGGCATACAATATTCTGAGCATTAATGTTTTGAAACTTGTTATTGAATGTGGCCGAAGGGAATGAAATCCACATACATTGTAATAAAGAAGGCTGGCTAAATTCTGAAGCTATACATGGACATTACAACTTGATCATAACAAACTCTGAACTGTGGATATTACAAGTACAACTCTAACATTGTAAATCTGAACGTTTAAGTAACTATCGCTGAACTATTAGCGGGGACAATGTATATTTTATATTTTTGTAATTTATCTATTGTAATGTTATAGTTTTAAGGTTTCAGATATGGATCACACAGGCAGTTGCCTTTTTATCCATTAAAAATGTATGTATACCAAGCAGCTCTAGGCTAATCTACATGTGTATACTTTCCACTGACTTTGAATCTAATGTGCCTCATATGCAGTAATTAATAGGTTAGTCAGTGCACATGACAGTAGGCATGGAGGAACATTAAGTCTTGCTATTCAGTTGGCTGAACCAGATGACCTCAAAGAAGCTTGTTGGATGCTTAATAAGCTCGCTATAATTGCGTTTCCACGATTAATTGTCGGCTTGCATTAAATGCTTGTCATAAAGGTGTCAGGGTCCATGGTAATTAATGCTGGTATGCCGTACAGTACAAAAGCTGCAGCGATGTAGGCAGACTCCCTGACTCCTCTGCAAAATACCATGGAGTTAGGCCACACCAGTTCACTTCCTTGGTTTTCTGACATTTAAAAGTAATTTGAAAGATAAAGCAAGAAGATTAAAACAGGGCTGGGGGGAATCTGACTATATTCACATCCTGAAGCTTTGTGTAACAAGGTACAGATTTTCTCCTCAAACTCTGTTTTCACATTGATCTTCCATTTTAGCATCACCCTTTCAGCTCAGAGAACAAACCAAATTTGTCTGGCCTAACTCACAGAGCCACCCTAAAGTACAGGACTTAGAATATGAAGTCAGTTTGTGAGGCAAAAGCATGTAGTGCTACACAGAGTTTTAGGGAGTAAATACTGTAACGGGATCAAGTTTTCCTCCAGCCCTGTTTAATCTGGACTTTTTGCTAACATTTCTTTTTAAAATTGTCCGAGAAGCAAGGAAATAGATTGGTGTGGCCTTACAGTACAATAGCTGTGATGATGGTAGACTTTGTGACTCCAGTTTGAAATACCATAATTGTAATACCTCCACAGAATAGCACTGGATATGTTGTTATCAATGTGTGTTGGTTAGATTGGAAACAGCACAGCTAAGTTGTGGGGATGTAAAGCTTCATGGGGTGTTAGAAAGACTGTTAGATATGATTGCTAAATTTGTTTTCTGCATGGGGTAGTCCACTTATTCAAATATGTGACGCTACAATATCACTTGTCTGAACAAAAGAAAGACAGGACTAATTACTTTGGGGTGGCCAGACTATTGCAATGATTGGTATCAACTGGTATCAAACTTTATAATGTGCACAAAGTTCCAAAATGTTTCATTTCATTTGTTCAATTTGACATTTGACAAGGCTGGCCAACAAGCAAGAAATTATCAAAGGCTTGCTTTTGTTTTCAGAACTAACAGGTCTTGAGCAGTGCACACTCAGATGGGCCCCTACTCTCAACACTAAGTAAGGTGGAAGCTTTAAGATGCCCAAGGAACGGCTCTCCTAAGACATTGGACCCCATCAAAATGACAGTAGCTCCTACCAATAACAAATTCGGGATTCGGAAGATCAGTGGATGGACCAGAATTTGAACCAAGAACCTTTCAGCTCAACAGCAGGGACACTCTATACAAGAACTTGGCATGTTATTTACATTGCCATTAGCATTCTAAAGATTTCCTGTGAAGACTTATTATGCACCATTGTTGAGAACCACCTTATCAACATTCACAGCATGACAGCTGCAATGTGTCTGCTGCAGATAAGGCTGCTCTAACTCAATTTGGTGGTTCTTGGATTTAAAAAGATAAAGCAGAATCATAATTATATCACCATGAAAAATTTAAGAAAATGTTTGTGCCTTGGAATAACAGTTGGGGGGAAATACTGTAAGATTGAAGTTTTCCTCATAGCTCTTGTTTTTAAGATATCCTTTTGTCAAATTCAACTTTAATAGGTCTGAAAACTGTGGAAGTAATCTGGTGTGCACGTGGCTGCATGGAGGCATAGATTACATAAAACTGCTTTAAGGGATGACAACCATGTAAGCATTATTTTTGACACTTAAAAAAACAAAAATTGCTGCATCTTCCTTGTCTTCAATGTCAAGAAGGCAGGAAGGTCTTGACAAGAAACATTGATTTATCTATGAAATCTATTTGCGTACTCAACACTTTCCCTGACTCCATGTGACCTCTCACCTCTTAAGTCTCTGTATGGAGTACTTGGAGTCTTGGTTGCCCCGGGAGACGGGCATGCTCTCCAGGTTGGCCATGAGCAGGTTGATGGAGCTCCTCAGCTCCTCCACATACATTGTCTCCATCTCCTTTACTACAAACCTGGGAAACTGTCGATTCTGACAAGGACAAAACATGGGCCAAAAGTTACATACTGGTTTATAGTGCAATGAGTTCAAACATCCAAATACATGATATTAGTAAATCTACAAAGGCCGCACCAATCTGTTTCTTGGATTCCTGGATATTTGTTTGCAAAAGTATATGAAAACAGGAGCCGGAGAGAAGCCTTGATAATGTGTGAACCAAGCAACAAACTTTCCCTCTGACTCTGTTTTCATGCTGATTTTCAAGTTTAGCATTATCTTCTTTAAATCCAATAATCAATAAATTAGATTGGTGTGGCCTTATCAAATAAATAAAGAATGAGAAATGCCTCTGAAATATTAGGGCTGGTATCCGTCATTTTTCCTGCTACAGGAGGTACATGATAGCATCAGTAACATATACATGTACATAAAATGCTTTGTTTATCAGTGCAAAAGGCAAACTGTGACATATGTTGGCAAACAATACACAAGATAGTTTCACCATCCCATGACAGATTAATTAGAAAGCCCAGCCTTAACCCCTGTTAAGCAGCCAAGTGACCTGGTAGGGGTCACAGATACCTGGAAGTTTGTATTAACCTGTGGTCCTGGACTGAGAATTGTGTTTGAAAAAACCTAATCAAATGAATGTCTAGAATTTGGTTGTAACCATAAAGTTTATGATTGTATTCAATTTGCAGAGGACTAATAAGTAAGTGACAAATCAAGGAGACACATTGACACATATTTTGATGATAAGTCTTTTTAGTCTGTGACAAAATTTACAAATTTTGGGAACATTCAATTTTATACTATACTAGCTTGTTTTTGATTGGTATGAAATTTAAGCCTTTTTTGTTGTAAAAGAAGTTTTGTTGGCTTTACCTGCAAGATAGCTTGGGAGATCTTTCTTCTTAATATAGAACATATTTCAAATTTCATACATCTGACAAAACACAATGGAAAACATGGAGCAGGGCAAGATGTTCTTGTGTTTGATCATCATAAAATCTGAAATATAGAAAGGTTGTTTTAAAAAGTCTTGCTTGCAAGGACAAAGCTTATACAAGTGAAAACTACAAGCACGAGTTAGAAAAGGTAAGCATTCTACACAGCAATGTCTAAACATTCATGTGGGAACAAAAGACAGAACAAAAACAGTGCAAGAACAGAACATAGAGATGGGAGTCTACTCTCTACACTTACCACATGGGCCTTTCTGCATCTGGACCCAACTACGAACTGAATCAAGGAAAAAGAAAAAAGAAAGCCAAGAAAGCAACTGTTAAGTGATTTGCAAAATCATGCAGGTGAGGAACAATGTGATACCGATATAGATATGTGATAATCATAATGAAAAGCAGGATGGATCTATAACTATGCAAGATAATTGATGGGAAATGGCTACTCCCTACAAATTGGCATAAGCAATTGGTGAAAACATACTTCTACTAGATACTGAATCTAGCACTACTAGTACATAGCAAGATATAGAAATTCTGAAGCAGTTTCCTTGGTTTCTACTAAGGATAAATGACATTTAAAGGCATTCAGCAAAGTCAAGGCGAAAGCACTGAAGTTGTTTTTCTGTGCCTCAAGTTTTTTCTTTTACTTTTATAGCAAATAAATACAAATGAAGTGTCCTTGGAACTTTGGAGAGATGTTTGGTTAGTTTCTTTCCTTTCATCTCAAAGTTATGGCCTACAGAAATGAAGAAACATAAGATGTAAGGGAGATGTGGAGATGCAATATACATTTTCAATAGACCTGTCCTTGGTGCTGATACATCAGCTGTTGCCTTTCCGGTCACAAAACAAGTCATTCTTCTTAAAAATCAAACATTGCAGATACCATCTGTCTCTAAATTATACAAAAACAATATATTTGACTTTCACATTGGAAGATATCTTAATGTATACATGAGGTAAATTAATCTAAATTTTCAAAGTTGTGACTAACCATGAAATCAATGTAAATCCTATTCACGTTCACAAACTCAAGTCAATACTTTTCCGCAAATTCAATTCTCAATTTTGGGTTCATTAAAAAAAAAGCTTCATTTCCATGTTAACCTTACAGACCAATAAACCAGATTGTGCCACTGCACCCTATATAAATGACACTATCAACCCCCAAATGTGGCTAGTAATAGGTTCATACTCTTGGCAGTCTTCCCAGATACAACAGCTTTCCATATGCCACCTTTCTGCTTGGATGGAAACAAAAACATTCCCAAATGGGATGGCTATATCACACCTGTCCACATTAAGACTACATGGGTGAATACACAAACCTTTAGCATACTATGAGAATTAGATAGAAATAGAGGTCTGATCTAATCCCCAAAAGCTCAGTAGATACACGTATACAAAGGTTCTGCTTCATGTTTTCTTTAGCCACTGGATTTTTTAATGTTTGAATTTATGTCTGCTTGTCTCTGTGTCTGTGTGTGCCTCTGACTTACTCCCAAAATAGTATATGCACATGCAAGGTCCTGCCATCTCTGATTGCCTTGTTCCATGTTGCTTTCCCCGTTACCAGAACCAAGGAAATAAAGCATTGTTGCCTAAGCTTCATCAATTATGTTTGAAAAGAATAGGTCAGGTTCTGGGTGTGTCTGTGCCCCCCTCCCCACACACACAATCCCAGCATGATTTGGTCATCATTCCCATTCAATAGATGCAGCCACGGAATCAATTCTCACTTAATGGTGTTCCAGGAATGGTGATCAGATGAGTAATCTGTTCTTTAATATTCAGTTGACAATACGACCTACTTCTGTATGAATCACAACTTAAAATACAAGATGGGGTGACACTAAATTACATGATCTGGGTGTCAAATTCTGCTACATCACAAGAAGCAGTCCTTATAAGACAGTTTTATATCTCTCAACCACCACTATTAATACCTGAACAATGACATAATATTATACATTGGTACCAACTTGAACATAGAATTGGTGGATACAGTTTTGGAATAAGATTTTGAGCCTGTGATAGACTGACCCCACCAATCTATGCATGAAGCCTGCAACAACAGCAAGGAGATTACCGGTACTCATGCCTAAGTTTTTCTTTGATAGACGTGCACTCCTCCATCTCATGTGATATCTTCCTGTCTCTTCTTATTACATGCACACCCTGCCTGGTTTCATAGACACACCATATCAAACCCTTTTAAGTTGTAACACTAATCCATCCTTGATTCATGTTACTGTATATAACAGTATGCGTATTGGAAAATAGCAGTAAGTCTTCTTTTATTGATCTTTCAAGTCATATCAATTTTCTTGCTGTGAGCTGTTCAAAACTGCTCACTGCAATCTTTTCTTGTAATTCAAGACGAAAAATAGGTTACTCGGTTCAGTTAAAAATCGAGATGAGAAACAACAGATATCAGTGAATGTAATAACCGCTACTACATTATCAAACCGAAAATGCATGTCAAACAGGGTATTTGTTGCATATCAGATATGCTGCACATAAATCATATTTCCTGCTGCATGCACATAAAATACATATCACTAAGTGCATCAGCTGCATAAGACATCCACATGATTATGATTTATTCCAACAGTACATAAGACTTACAATTCATCGCACAATAAAGTCTTTATACCTCTCTACCTGACTATACATCTTAATATCCCCTGACTGATCCTGAGTATAGGTTATTTAATACTGCCTTTGTATGAACGCCAGAAAGTCCTTAGCCATCGTAACAAATCTTTTGTTCCTTTCTGTTTCCGACACACGAGTAAAATAACATCCGTTAAGCACAATACAATAACCTTTTGCCTGTAAAAATACAATAAGCTCTTCTCTTTCGTGAAAACACTTAGTCACAGGAATGATGGATGCAGCCTTTCTGCATTTCAAGGAAGAAGAAATTATTACAGAATTAAAGCTGTCACAAGACTGTCATTATGCATTTTTATGTACCCTGTAGCAGATCTGAATGGGAATTGGGCAAAAGTCCAACATGCTGGGAATATAATTGTAGGTCTATATTTGTAGGTCTTAGTATAATCACTATCATTACTAGACTTTCTCATTATCACTAAGGCTACACTAATTTATTTTATTGATCCTTTGACATCCTAATAGTACCGATAAATGTCAGGAACTCAGCAGCAAAAGATGAAAACAAGACTGAAAGAACTTGATCTAACTATATCCACTGTCTATATGAGAGACAGACTTTCTCTCAGTCTTCCAAGTCTTTATTTTGATAGTCCAATTTAGCATAATTAACTTTTGTTATATTTGAAACCCAGCAATTCAAATCAGTGTGGCCTGATCTGTGCAACAATTTTCTTCCATGACAGTGTTTATGAAGATAAAGCAAAAGCAAAAACGTTTGATGAAGTTTACCTATTACATGCAATTTACAACTCTTACACTATCCTCTGTAAAACACTGGTTATGACATGGATATATGGGTAGTGCTATCCTTAACCTACCATCATAAAAATTTCACAGCATCTTTATACATGTATAATGCTTTATTGTACCTGAGGGTAATTCAATGTTTGCAAATTCATGAAAGCTACATGTAGCCTGCTGTTGATTTTTTAAATTCTAAATTACAAATTTTGTTCTTTTTGCTTTGGTTATTGGAGATTTTCTTTGAAGACCAAAAAATAATGGATGTGAGACAATTGAAATGTAAGGCCTTCAAAGGCACACGTACAGTAACAATTGCATCCATCCATGAGAAACTAATAAAAATGGCATCATCTCTTCAGACCTAGGTACATGTAGAATTACTCTGTCTTCTCTGAGGCCCCCATGAAATTGCCTGTTTTATAGTTATTTGAGTAATACACAGAAATAAGATGCTGAATTCTAGAGGGATACGTGCCCATTGTGTAAATTTTATTCCTGAGATAGCGTCCATGCCCACATTCAATTTTACAGACCACAGACCAAGAGGACAACATTAGAATGAAAATTCTTATTTGGTTCAAACACAAAGATTCTACAATACTTTCATTCAAAACAGTAACATACAGGTGTAAGTGTTGGAATGATAGGCCATCACCTGCAACCTATTTTGCTTGGACATTCTATGAAGGAGGTCAATATTGCAGTAGGAGTATGCTCACTTCCTGAAACTGTGAGTTCCCTCAGACTCTGTTCTCATGCTGATCTTCAAGATGTGTAAAAAACGGCAAATTGAACTGGTGTGGCCTAACAGCCCCTGTGCCACCTAAAAGGTTTGTATCACAGAGCAAATCAAATAGGACTTGGCAGGCAGTGGAACAACAATAGGATTTTCCAACATCGTGTTTTATTACTTCAATTTGCCATCTAGACAGACCAGACTCTGCTGGTAATGGCACACTTTAACAACTGATGATAAATTTTTGATGGGCTGGTTTTTTGGGATGCCCCAGCGGGTCTTCCTTGCAATGAGCAGACTTGTAATGAGCAGCCAATTTATTGTTAGAATGTAGAAGGATTGGCCAGGTCCATTTCCTTGCCTCCAGGTTCAATTTCAGCCCAAAAGAAAGTAATAATCTTTATCCATATCCAGCGTAGAATAGGACAGGAAAAAGGGCAACTTGATCCTCAGTGGTATCTTGAGACTTGGAAAATCTGATTAACTTTTCAAGTGAAAATCTCCATAGGCCACACCAATTTATTTCCGTGGAGCGATTTCTACGATAAAAATAGAGAGCTGAGAAGAAAACTAGGATGTGACTATCTACATGTATATTTAGTCACATCAGATTAATAAAGAAATAATGTAAAAACTAACAACTTCTGGCCAGAAACTGTTCTCCTCAGTTTTATGTTGTTGTTTTCTTTAGCTCAGAATCAGCACTGCTCAATCCAAGAATCAACCAATGATTTGATATGGCCTCAGCAACTCGTTACTACATTTGACATGATCAAGCAACTCTTTCCCACCCAATTTACAGAACGAATGGTGATGCTTTAATTCAGAGCTTGGTTGGTACCTTCTGGTAATACTTTCGTATCAACGGCAATTTCACCACCTGATTGCAAGTGTAAATGACTCTGGCAGCGCTTATTTGCAGAGCTCTAAGTGTGATGAGTTTCTCATTACTCAACAGCTGCATCTGCAGGTAATTCGACGTGCCAAAGAAGCAGATGGACCAGAATAGAACTTCCAGTAATGTCCACAGCCATGTACAATGTAGACTCTCCCAGCATCTCAATATTGTGGCGGTGTAGCCAGTTTGTTTTCTTGCTTGGCAACGATTTTACAATGGAAGGCAAGCAAAGGTCACAATTTACAATGTGTATTTTCTTGGTTCTTGGATCTTGGCTTAAAGTCTAGACAATTTAGCCAAAAGAAGTGATGCAAACAGATGAATAGGATGAAAACTTGAATCTGACTTCCCTTCTCGCATATCCCTCACAATACCAATTCTCTGACACCTTCAAAATCGTTAACTTCCCACTGACAGAGATAAAGGGTTGTATTATGACTTTGACAGCTTGGAGGCCACAAAGAGTAGTTCTTACTGATTGCCATCACACTAAACCTAACACGGGGCAAGTGCACCTCCCACTGGACCCATTGTATTAAATTGATCATTTCCATGGGAGCTAGTAAGTGTTCTTCAGGTCACTTACCTCTCATCATGATTCATAGTTACTGAGTACCTGTGGACTCTCCTGTTAGGCCACAACAATTTGAATGGTTGGCTCGTGAATTTGAAAACTAAATACAGAGTTGAAAAATTAAATTAACAGGCAAACCAGAGTCTAAGGGGAACATACTAGTCATTTTAAGTTTTTTTTCTCCCAGTCCTCTATTTTCACCTCTGAGTCATCTTTTTGATGAATTTCTACTTTGAAATGTCTATGTACCAAGATTGGATTGGCCTTGCTTGGGTAACAGTGCCTCTTAAACACATGTATAACTAACTCCAAGATACAGGTTAGAGACTAGTGCTGTCTATAAGCAGTCTTTCCTCCCGTCAATTGTAAGAAAAAGTTGTATTATCTTTAATACACAGAATGCCAATATGATATGCCTGACACACCAACCTGCAGGGATGATTGTGTTTCATTCTAGCAATTTCCGGTGTAGTGAACTGAAATACTGTAACACCCAGCAATATACTTCCTATAAATGACTGTACTGAGTAACATGTGATGATTGGTTAACAACTCTATCATCATCTATCACAACTATCTTCAGTCATGTCCCTGTAATTCCTTTGGTACATTTTGAGATGATTATGTACTTAAAGTAAAAATTAATGAATAATCTTCCTGCCAGTGACTGAGGTATCCAGGGACTAATTCCTTCTTACCCCTCTGACTTCTTCAACTCTCTGTAACCAAGAAGGTTTAAACCCCCTAAACTGCAAAGTTGTAGAACTTGAACACAAACATGTCATACCTAGCCATTTGTTATTAGCCATTCTAACTTGAATAACATGATCATAATCATTTTTTACATATTAGGTAAATTCCTTTAGTTATCTTTTGGAAATCTTTCTGTTTGGGATCAACACTGAGCAGATTATTATTGGAATGAGCAGAGCACTTTGGACTAATGCCTCTGACTATTTACAGCTTAGAGGTACATATCCAATATTTTGTCAAAAACTTCTCTGTTACATAGCGGATCATAATGACCCCCAGTGGGGGTCTTCACGCTTCGTTAAAAATTGAAAAATCTCAAGATTCATTCTAAAGATCTCAATATTTTAGACGAAATCTTGAGATCTTATAAGACAATCTTGAGATTGTTCATGACAATCTCCAGATCTTTCAGAAAATCTTGAGATGAAAACAAAAGGTCTCAAGATCTTTCCAAATGTTTTTAAAGTATCTTGAGATTTTTCCAAAGCATCTCGAGATGC